GATAGATAGATAGATAGATAGATAGATAGATAGATAGATAGATAGATAGATAGATAGATAGAGGGCACAGGGTGAGCTGAAGATGAAGAGGTCATATCTGAAGAATAAAATTAAGGAGTGAGAGAGAATTATACTAGGAAAAGGAGAAAGGGAGATGTAGAACGAGGTAAATTATCTCACAAAAAAAAAACAGAAAAGAAAAGGCTCTTACAGTGGCAGGGAAACAGGGGAAGGTAAGAGGGAATGAGGGAATCTTATTCTCACAGAATTTGACTTTAGGAGGGAATAACTTACATACTCAATTGAGTATGGAAATCTGTCTTACCCTACAGAAAAATGGAGTGGGGGTGGGGGAAGGGGACAAGACAGTATGGGGATGATAGAGAGGAAGGCAGATTGGGAAAGGGGGTAATCACAAGCAAGTACTTCTGAGGAGGGTCAGAGTCAAAAGAGAGAATAGAATAAATGGGGGAGTGGGATAGGATTAAGGGAAATAAGAGTTAGTTTTTCACAGCATGTCTACTATGGAAGGGTTTTGTATAACTGCACATATATAACCTATATCTAGTTGCTTGCTTTATCAATGAAGGTTGGTGGGGAGGGAGGAAGGGAGAAAATTTGGAACCCAAAGTTTTAAAAACATATGTTTAAAAAAAAAAATGTTTTCATATGCAACTGGGAAATAAGAAATACAGGAAACGGGGCACAGAAATCCATCCTGCCCTACAGGAAAATTGAACGGGAAGGGATAAGAGAAGGGGGGAGAGAGATAGAAGGGTAGGCAGACTAGGGGAAGGGGTATTCAGAATGCATGCCATCTTGGGGTGGGGAGAGGGGTGAAATGGGGTGAAAATTTGGAACTCAAAATCTTGTGGAAGTAAATGTTAAAAACAAAAAAATAAATTAAAATTATCATAATTAAAAAAAAAAAGGTTAGGTGGGTCAGGTTATTAAGGGCTTTGAACGCCAAGCCAAACAGAGGATTTTATATATGATCCTAAAGGTGATAGGAGACACTTGCACTGTGCCTTGCTCACAGTAAGCATTTAACAAGTTTTTGTTGATTTGAAAAAAAAAAGTATATGATACAGGAACAGAGAGGTGATAGTTCTGTTGTAGTCTACCCACATCACACCACAATCTAGAGCACTTTTCAAAATTGTCAGAATAAGCACCCGAGAGGACATCCAAGATGGTAAAAGTCTCAAGATTCTCATCACATAACAATCTGGAGATGTAAAAGACTAGAGATTTAGTGGAAACACGTCTTCAAATATTTCGAGATTTGTCACACATAAGTAGAATTAGACAAATTCAGCTTGGCTCTAGAGAATGGTATTAAGAACAATAAGTGGAAATTATAGAGGCAGACACAGAGCTATTCAAACATGAAGCAGGTTGTCTCAGACATTCTTCACCAGATATGGGTGGGACCAATAGCCTCTGAGGTCTCTTTCCTGTATTCTAATTCCTAGCATTAGACCACATTTTTGTGCTGTGATTTCTCTCCATTTACAACAGTCAAAATCCACAAAAGCTCACCTACCGGTTTTAGCTGATTCAATGGACAAACTCTACATGTTCGCATATCACAGAACTGGACTGTGATTTTGCCTTTAGGAGTGATGCGTGTCACTGTGCCTTCTCCAAATTCATCATGTACCACTTGGCCACCCAGCCTCAAGCGACTGTCTATTCCACCAATTACAGCTAGCACTGCCATTAGGCCACCAACTTCAGGGTTCTCAGAATCAGGAAAGTAATCTTCTAACACAGCCTAACACAAAACAAATACAAATAAACCGTAAGTAGAAAATCAACGTTCTTATCTGTGTTTTAGAAAAATAGTCAACAAGAAAGTTGTTTAAATAAAAAGGCAATTGCTTTCTAAAACAAGTTAATCCAATTAAATTAAAATGCCTCTGAGTCAATTATACATTTTAAAAGTAAATTTTTTATATTAAAAGTATTCTAGAAAGAAAAAAATGAGCTTATTTTAAAACGTGGAAACTACCCCTTCCGACTGTTTTCCTGCAAAGATGTGGGTGATGGAGTTTAGCTGAGAGTTGATGTACTTGTTTATGAGTCCATTCCACTGGCTCAGTGAATGTAGAGTCCTTAGCAGGGCCACTATCTCCTCTGCCAAAGTACTACTATGGGTTGCAGTCAAAGATGCCTGGGGTCTGGCCTTCCTCCTTCTCAGAGTTGATTCTAAAATAAAAAACAGAGAAAAAGCTTAAAAGTGAATTTATAATTTATCTAATTAATCAAATAATGTAAAAAACCACTTTACCTCTGAGCAGTGGTATGTCTGAAGAGCATGTACTAAGAAGGCTGCCCAAGAAGCCAAAAAGTTTTTCCACAAGAAACTTCATATCCCTTGATCTTTCCATTTTGTCCCAGGATGGAAGTACTGCTTGCAATAAATGCACTGCTAAGATCTAATGAAAACATAATTATCATCAGTCATTTTTCAGTCAATGTATTATACTCAACCATTTTTTCTTTTTCTACAACTGAAGTACTCTCGTCTCCTCCTCCTCCCCTTAAGACTGTGAGCTTGCCCTTCCTCCTGTTACTTGTCAACATATTCTCATCCTTATCTACCTGAGCCCTATCATTCCAAAACTGATATACCAGTCTACCCTCCAGCTGTAGTGTACCTCTGGAATCCTGAACAAGACATACCTTTGTACCTCAGTTTCCACATGTGTAAAATGAGGAGGTTAGACTAAATTACCTCTAAGGTCCCTTCTCTGCTCTAGAGCTATGATTTTATGACCCTCCACTCTTATTAAACTCTCCTTCACCCTTTATTAAACTTCTCCTTCACTAGATCTGGTCATCTGTCTTCTAGCCCAAAGAAATCTATTTCTTTTCAGAAGTCGTTATACCCTGGTTACCCTCTCCAGTACTGGGAGTTCACGCCTCCTGGCTTACTTGTCCAGGAAAAGATGAAGGCATATTTCTTATTCTTCACTGTCACATCAAGACCACCAATCAGCAACTTCTTTTGTTTTAAGGTTTACTCTATCCATCCATATCCTTCAGTCATTGTTCTAATTACAGTCTCTCTGCCTCTCTGCCCCTAGTCCAGCTCTTATATTCAGGGATTTCAACATAGATTCTTTGATATTTCTTAAACAATTGATCTTTTAGTTCATCAAAGTCCTTAAGTCTCTTCACCTTCACACCATCCTTCTACTTCAGCCACCCAAACACAATGTCATACCTTAGATCTCGTAATCACCCATAACTATACTACTTTTGTCTTAAACTCTGAAGCTCCTCTCTGTAATCCTAGCCTATTATACCTTCTTTCCCCTTGCCTCATTGCTACTAAATCCACTCCTTATCCTCATTGGAACCTCTATTCCCTTCACACCTCCTTTTTCCCAACCTTCACCCCTGCTTCACCTCAACTTTTCTACTTCAAAGTCTTGACTATAGTTCAATTAGAATATATCACATACACATTATCTTCTGCCACTGAATCATTTACCCCTTGTCCTATGCTACTCGTACTTTGCCAAATCTCAGTTATGAGTACCCATTGCACACAGAAATGTATAGACACACAGAATCCTCCTTTACTTTTGCTATTCTGAAGTGCTGCTGAACATTGCTGGAGGAAGTCACACACCTGTGCTGACTTTGGCCTCTACAAATTTATGTTATCTAATCTCAATTGTTTCTCTCTGTTTCATGGTAATCCTTTTTAACTCTTGCCTGTTTCCAAACCTTCTCTGCTCTCCTCAGAGGTACATCACTCTACCATTTCCTTTCTATCTCCAAAGAGAGGACCCTGCCATCTACTTTACTAAGAAAAATTGAGACCACCTATCTTCAGCTCTTCTCCTTCAAAACTCAAAATCCTTCCATGTTGTCCCTCATTCTTTCCAGAATTAAGCCTCTTTGCCAAGGTGAAGCCCCTATTTGGGCCCTTCAGCAAGTCTCCTCCAGGAACCTGATTCCCAATTATTTCCATTCATTCATTCTTCCTTTCCCTCTCTTTTATCTACTCTTCTCTTCCTTTCTATCTACAAACATACCCAGAATCTCTCCCCAAATCTTTAAAAAAAAAAAAAACCTTTTCACTTGACCCTATCAATATGTTGAGGTTATATCCTTTATCTCTTTTCTCTCTCATGTTCCAATCACTATTCATCTATCCTTGTTTACATCGTCACATCTCCCACTCAACCCCTTACAATCTGACTTCACAGTCAATTATTATTCCACTGAGGAAAAAACAATTTTCTTCAAAATTTCCTATGATAGCTTCATAGATTAATCCAATAGTTTTTTTTTTTCCTTAATCCTCATTACACTTAACTTTCTGCAGCATCTTTATTGTTGGCCACTCTCTATTCGTGGATATTCCGTCCTTTCTTGGCTTTCCCTGACACTGCTCTCTTGGTCCTCCTCCTAAGTCTGTTTCTTCTTAGTCTCCTTTGTAGATCCTTTGTAGGATCATCTACCTCCCATAAACCATGGTTAGTCTGCCAAGGTTCTATTCTAAGCCCTCTTCTTCTGCTGTCCTTTAATCTCATTTAGACCCCAACATTCAAATATCTTCCCCAGACAGATAATTCCCAAATCTATACATCCATTTCTAATCTTTCACCTAAACTGAATCCATGTAGTAACATCTTTACTTGACATCTCTACCTGGACGTCCCATAAGAAATTCAAACTCAATATACCCAAAACAGAATTATCTTTATCTCAAAATTTACCTACTCCAAAATTTGCTATTTTTCTGGAACACATGCCATTTTTCCAGTCATCTAAATTCACAATTTAAGTCACCTCTGACTACTTCTTCTACTTTATCCCCCATATCCAATCAGTTGTGAAGTCTTGACAATTCTACCTCTGCTTCTCTCAAATCAGTCCATTCATTTAACCACTGCCCCTCGTTCAGGCCTTGATCACTTTGAACTAGAACTCATTATCTTTCTCCTCAAAGCCTCTCCTCTTCTGAAATTTCCCTACTACTGCAGAGGCGACCACCATTCACCCAGCCTCAAAACTTTTATGTGACTCTTGACTCTTCTTTCTCATCAGATTCATATATCCAATCAGTGGCCAAATTTCTTTCTCTACAATATCTCTGTCATACATCACATTCTCTCCCACAGATAAAACCCTAGTTCAGGCCCTCATCACCTCATACTTGGACTACTGAAATAGCCTCTTAACTAACTGATCTCCCTGACACAATTCTTTCCCCACTTAACTGCCAAAGTGACTTTCCTAACACATCATCATATAGCAAGTATATATCTGTCAAGTCAATCACCTGTCTCTGAAGAGAAGCTGCTGTAAATGACTCATGTCCTTCCACGATTTTCATCAGTAATGTGATCCACTGAGATGTACTAAGGGTGCTACACATTTGAGGCATAAGTGCTATACTGCGAATAAATCCAAGTGTACACCAACTCCTGTGCTGCTCTTTGTAAACCAATTTATTTGGTAAAGAAGCTGAAAGAGAAAAGAAAATGTCAATACTCTCCCCCACTAGGTTCCCAAATTTAATGCTTTTTAATGTTTTCTCTTTCTTTTAGATCTAAAGGTAATAAAGAACATGCAAAAAAAAAATAAAGCCTTATTAATTTGAAATAATTTGCAATAACCCAAAATAATGGGAATATTTTCTGAACTAAAAGCCTTAACTTTATGATACTTTTAAGAAAAAGCAGCTTGACCATACATTTTAATTCATTTGATAACTGAAACAAGATGCTATTTTAGCTACTGGAGTTGTTTATGCTTGTTTTCATAAACAGTAAAACGAATCTATAATTATGTCAGTTTGTTAATATCTAAATGGAACACTGCGCTCCTATTCCCAACTTTACCCTATTTATTACATTGTATGCTTAAATCAAAACCAACTAATCCATTCTGAATAGCTGGAATTACATAAATATCACATGTACTTCTATAAATTTGAGATTAATTCTCACAGTACTCCTAAGAAATAGGCATCAAGCCCAAAGTCTTTGAATACCATTAAAATCATAGAATTTAAAGCTTGGAAGGAGCTTGACTAAACATCTAGCCCAATACTCTCATTTTAGAGAGGAAGAGCCTAGAAAAGTTATTGGCATAACCGAAATTATATATGCAGCAGAGCTCCAACTGAACTTAGCTTAAATTATGATAATCTAAATTCACTCTTCTTTCCACACCCAAACAATGCCTTTCCAATGTAAGTGAAGAACTAAACATAAGATACTAAATTACTATTCTAAATCAAAGTGTATATATCAGATAGATCAGGAAAAGAACTAAGAACTCAATGAAATGAATTCTTTCTTTCTATCCATTTTCTCCAACTCTGTTAATATCACTACCATTTTATACTCATTCCTCCCTTAACCCCGGGGATAGACTACGATCTTCAATAATATCTCTCCGTTGTTTACTAAGTTGCTTAAACTTGCCATATCTTCCACCTTACATTTTCCCTGTCTCTCAAGCTCTAACTTTAATCATCTGGATTATTATAACTTTTTTACCAAGTTCACTCATTTCTTCCACCAAACCCATATCTATCATTACACAATGATCACCAGTTTTTTATTCTCCAAAACCCTCTTAACATCTCATTGGTAATTTCTACACCAGAACCAAACACCACATCTTAGACTTCAAGGCTCATCAGATTTAACTAAATGTACCCAATTACTCTTTCTTACTTCTCATCTACCCTCCTCTCTTTAAGACTGACCTTCTGCAACCCTCTTTTCCTACAATATTCTCAAAAAAAGTTTCTATCTCCCGAGCAACAGTTTCAAAGGGTAGTGTTCAGTGATTCCTGTGACAATAGCATCCATTTTCTGAAACTGCCCTATCTTTATCAAAATATTTCATTCTCTTCTCCTTTGAGGCATAGCCTCTTGAAGCTTTTTCTAGGATACACTAGGATACTAGGATACACAAGGTAAAATCCCAATTACAACATTTAACGTGTCTTTTGTACTACCATTTCTGTATTTTCAGCTACCTCAAGACTATAAAACACTCTCCCACCAACACTACATTCCTGACACCCCATCCCCACCCCAGAACACATACCTTTTCAATCCAAACCAGCACAGTGCCTAGTATAGTGACCAGAACCCACTGGCAGTCCCTGATCAGAGGTTGGCAAACTCCTCCCAGACCTTCCACTTAAGGAGGGTGCCCAGGTCATTCATCTCTTCTTTTCCCAACAGGATACACTCCTTAGGACTTCTCCACTATACCCTCAAGCAAGGTACTTTTCCTCTTCTTTTCCCTCCTGGTCCCCCTCTTTTTCCCCTGCATCTCAGCTTCCTTTTGTATGTCTTCGCCCTTTAGACTAGAAGCAACTTGAGAGGAGTGACTGTCTTTTGCCTTTCTTGGTATCCTTGATGCTTAGCACAGTGCCTGGCACACAGAGCATTAAATGAATACTTATTGACTATAAACTATAGTCAATATAGTCAATAACTATACAGAATTATATTAAAGGACAGGAATGATTTTAAGTCTCTTCACCACAGATTCTTTCTTAAGTACATTTAAAATGTTTCTGTGTTAAAATTAGCATATATTTCTGTAGAGAACATCTGAGGTTTAAAGTACCAGTTTCTCCTAAAATATTCAAAGGATGAAACACGGGATATTACAATTGAAAATATAGGACAAAAGGGCATATTAAGGAAAATGGTATCACCCAAGAACATGTTTATTTTACCATTCACATGACCTATAACGTACATGTTTTATCTATTGTTCCACTTTCCACTAACATTCGAAGCAGACCACACAAAGTTCTTGTGGCTTCATTTTGCATGATTTCTGCATGAATTCCAGCAGACAGACACAGAGTCTGTAGTAGATTAACAGTACTTGTAAGCATCATAGAAGTAGGGTGGAGGTTTCTTTCCATTTGTTCACCTTCTGAAATGGAAACCAAAATAAAAACAAATAAGAAACGAGTTAAAATATGTATGCAGCAGCAACTCACTGACTTATTATTCTAATACAAGTGGTTTGGGATGTATATTTTTTTTTTAAAAATTCCCAACAAAATATCAAAAAAATTACTTCAACTGAAATCAATCTTTGAAGGTAGGAAGGAAGAGTTCAATAGGGGAAAGGAGATAGGGAGAGCATGAAAGAGGCAGACAAATACAGAAACAGTGTTGTCAGATGAAATCTATTAAATGACTTTTAACTATCATCTGCTTGGGGAAGGGAATGTTTCAACATATGCTGACCAATTATCTCGTTCTGATGTATAGTATGCATCTACAGTGTACTCATGAGAAGAAATTATTTTTCATTTTTCCAAATCTGGTAGGCAAATAGGGGATTCTACCAGTTAGAATCTAAAGAGCAGTTAGCAAAAGGTAGGTCCCTGCCAACAGTGCTTCCCTCCCTAAGAATCTAAGCAAATGGCAGAAAGGGAGGGACCTGGGAAGCAAGTGGTACCTATACTGCATACATGATGAAAAAAATGTCTCAGCTATCAAACATAAGTAGTTTTAAAGCACAAGTTCTTAGCCTTGTTTGAGTCATCTGGCACTATGGTAAAGCCTATAGATTCCTTCTAAGGATAAGGTTTTTAAGTGCATATAATAAAATACAGAAGATTACAAGGAAACAAATTATATTGAAATATAGTTATCAAAATGAACCCCTGTCCTAAAGTTTAATGCTAGCCATTAAATGTTTGCTAAAAAATAGATGCATTATATGTAGGTCTATTTTTATCTTTAAATATATGGTTTCTTATTCCCACCTAAACTGATTAAAGGTAAAGTTAAATTCAAGTTTTCAAATTTATGCCTGTCCTACTTTATGTAATATTCAAAAGCAAAGTAAGGAAAAATATAAAGGCCATCCTGGTAAAAACAATACATTTCTTTGGTAAAGCTAATCTTGAGGAACTATACATCATTTAAAATCATTTGCTTTTTATTTCTAATTCAGTAAGTTAGTATTTACTGAACAACTGATGTTTTATCAGATACTGTATATATGGGGTCTCTCTGTTGGCAGACCTTAAAGTATGGCTGAGGAGACAAAACACACATACAAGAATAAGTTAAGAGAGCAATATACTAAAGCAAAAACCAGTGCCACCTAGAACAGAGATACAGAGTTTAGGGAAGGAAGGCAAAAAATATATATTTTATTTAGGTTATCTTTAAACTCTTGCTATTTTTACTAACCAGAATCATCCTCAGTATCTGAGTCCTCTGTTGTGGGCTGAGCTGCAGGTGGGGGCTCAGCCAATTTGAGGTCATACTTTCCTTCTTTCCCCATTCGGTACGAATTGGTACTGCCTGTATCCCACTGGACCCTTATCCATCCATCCTCTCCTAATTCACCAATCACACGACCTAAACCTGGGGGTGGGCCATCCTGAGAAGGAAAGAAGAAAATTAAATACCACAGCTTCAGTATAGCATAGTAACTTAACATTTTTCCATTCTATTCCAATATCTTTACATGGAGTATATATACATATTTTTTCATTCTTCTTACATAGTATCAAAAGCACAGAAATCTGACCAACTGCACTAAGACAAGAAAAAGAAAATGAAACCATGAAGAAGTAAAAAAAAAAATCTTAATTTTCAGATTACACACAATACTGCTATGTTTTAGATACATGTTTAGGGACGTAAACAGACAGGTGTCAAAAGAAGACATAAAGGGAATAACAAAAAGGTTAGCATTAACGTTAGAATATATATTTTTAAATGTAAGAACTTTTGAATGTATGTTTATTCTGGGACTTTAAATTAATAATAAAATAATTTAAAACAGAAATTTAGCTTTATAAATATGTGTATATATGTGTATATATGCCACTAGAAGAATATTTATTTCCATGACTAATAATATCTTCACATTCTATAAAAAATTTTTCAAAAATTGTCTATAAATTCAAACGTTCAAAGATTTAGATCTCAAAGAGACTTTAGAGGCAGTCTAGTCTAACCTACTCATTTTATACACCAGGAAACTCAGGATCAGAAGTTAAGTGATTTCTCCAAGGTGGGATGTGAACCTAAGTCCATCCTGGCTCCAAGTCCAAAATATAATTTTCTATAGAGCTAATATAAGAAAAATTTGAGGGAGAAGCATTCTCATAACTCTAAACATAGGTCATATTCTGAGATTTCTACATCTACATGACTACAGACTACAAATAGTTTGTCCATACAAAGACTGGGGATTCAAAGCATGTAAGAGACAAACTTAAAAGCCACATAAGGGTAACTATCCTAAGAGAGTCACTAGTCTCCTGAAGCTTCTCTTCAATCATAAACCTCCTATCAACAGGGATGGCGGAGGGAAGGGAGGGAGAGATAATAAAGGGAGAAAGGTTCTCCTTTCTGCCCTATTGTTTCTGGCCTTCTTATAGTTAATCCCTGTTTTAAAACAATCTTTACCTTCCCTCTCACACTCTTTCCCTTCTGTAGAGAATTCACTTCTTAAATGGAGGCTCCATCTGCTGTCTTAAGAAGTGCCCTCCATTTTCTTTGAGGAATGAAGCAATTTTTATAGCACTGCTTCTTATCACAGAGCAGTTGTTCACCCACAATTATCTTTTCGAAGCATAAATATTATTACCTCCTGGTATCCCTGTTTGCAGGTCTGAGATAGGTCCAAGAATTCTTTCTAAAATGTTAATATATGAAAAATGTCCCCTAATTTGTGGCATTGATGCCTTTGTACACAGAAAGAGATACCTTGTCTTTTAGCTGTAACTTGAGGCAGCACAGCAAAACAATAAGAATGATAGCTTTGGAGTCTGGAGACCTGGTTCAAATTCAGTCTCCTGCACATTATTATTACTGAGTCACCATGGACTTCTTAGAGCCTCAGTTTCCTCATCTGTGAAACAGAGATAATGTACTATCAAATTCACAGAATTTTTGTGAAGAGAATGTTTTGATCTTTGAAAATGTGGGGATGAGAGGGTGGAGGCCAGAGTGAAGGTGGATTGACTAGGGAGAAGAGAGGAAAGCTGCTGCTATTACTGCTGTTTTCCGAAATTCTACAGTTAAGCCATACTGCTCCAAGTTCCACTTCAGTGTGTCCCTGATATTATTTATTTGTCCACTCCTTCCTTTGATATTATTTACCCCTTAGTCACAAATAAATGTTTTTAGCTCATGTCTCTTCTATCAACCACAAAGAGAGCTGGAGTTGTTATATTCTGGGCTGTTTATACCATAAATTATACAGAAAAAGGAGTTTTTTTTTTTATTACCACCTAAAATTTACTAGCGCTTACATATACAGGTATGAAGACACTGCAGGGGCAGCTAGGTGGCGCAGTGAATAAAGCACTGGTCCTAGAGTCAGGAGGACCTGAGTTCAAATCTGGCCTAAGACATTTGACACTTACTAGTTGTGTGACCCAGGGCAAGTCACTTAACCCAACTGCCTAGCCAAAAAGCAAAAAAAAAAAAAAAAAGAAGAAGAAGAAGAAGAAGAAGATACTACAGTCACATTTAATACCTGATCTCCCCATTTCCAGTCCACTCCCCTCATAACCCTTGTACCAATCTTCATCATTGCTGCCAGTTCTGGCCCTGAAACAGGAAGTTGCACTGGGGTGGTTTCTTTTCTTGATTCTTCCAAAACAGTAGCTGAAGCTCCTCGGGCAGAAGCATTCATGTCTTCTTCAATATTGTCAGAACTAGGACCTGACCAAAGAATTGCAATCAGTTGTTTAAACAATATTGAGTAACCACCTGGTAAAAATGATGTAAAAGTAGACAATAATTCTTGTTTTACATAATTATCCTGAGTGCATTAAATCTATTTCCACTGCAAAAATTACTGCAATGAAAAAGTTTTAAAGGTATTTCAATTTATTTCCAGTCCATCTTTAAAAGGCAAAAAAAAAATGCAGACTAATTAGTATCACCACTAAATTGTTCTTTATGAAACCACATTAAATAATTCTACTCAAATAATCAAAAACTTTCCATACTAACTTCAAGAGCAAACTAGTCTTTTCTAGATCTCAATCTCAAAATAACAAGGTAAATCTCTTAATGTGAATTGTAAATGATTTAACAAATTACAAGTGCAGGTTACTAAAACTTTAAATTTTTTACTCAAGGATATACTAGTCACTTATATAAATTTTACCTGAAAACCTGAGGTGATATGGTAAAACTAAAAAGAGGTCTTGTTTTTCACTTTCATACAGTACCTCCTACTTAGAGCAGAGCATCTAAATCTCCTAGACAAATCACTATTTCATCATTATCTATCTCCAAAGAAGGAGATTTAACAGACTCCTTTAATATTCATGTTTATATTAGTTTTAAAAGTTCTTCCTTAAAGCCAAAGCTAAATTTCAAGTGATATGAAACAAGAATATCTCTTTTCCTCTCTCTGGTTACTGAAAATAGTCCCCCCCTTCCTTCATGTAACACCTCTGAAAGTTAGTGATCATAATTTCTTTTAAATGTCTGAGATAGTAATTCTATAAATTTTCATTTTAATGGATAAAATAACAAAATTACAAGTAGTCAAACAAAAATATTATCATCCATAATAAAGTACATATCCCCCTGTATTGCAGGGATTTGAATTTTGGACAAGGTACACAATCATTAATCTCTAAAATAAACCAAGGCAAATTAGTTTGCCTACAAAATGCAAAAAGCTACAATGTAAAAATATTGCCAAAGTCAAAACCCTGGATTTCACAAACCACCACTAAAAAAAAATCCAAAAGGCTGTCTACCTATTAATCGCAATGTTGTTTGAGTCAATGCTAGCATGCCAGAATTCAAAAGAAGATTCAAGTTGTTTGCACCATACTGAAGGGTGAGCATATTGAGCATAACCAGGAGAAAACGTGCTTGTGGAATGGTTCCAAGGCTTGGTCCTGCTGGATTCTCATTAGTAATGGTTTGCAGAGGAACAGGCTGGATACCTGGTTAAGAATCAGAATATCTTTAAGTAGGCTAAAATATATGAAATATAAATAACAATAATATACATTAAAAAGAGAGAAAAAACTCAATTTCTACCTACTGGTCAAATGCCATTTTTTTGCCCTATATAACATGGGAAGTATAGCCATCAAAAAGCTCCAAATCCCTTATATCTTTCTAAGAACCTTACTGATTTTTCCTCTTACACACTTGTCTCCCCTAGTTATAGTTCTTACTCCTCCTGTTTCTTAGTATCCCTTTTACATTCCAACTAAGTTACTTACTTTTTTTCACAGTTATCCCTAAAATTGACTCATAAATATTACTGTACTATGATAGGTACATTAGGTGTTTCGAATACGAGATCTAAGATTGTAAGGACATGTTAACTCTAAAAGTATTAAATTAACTATATATAAACATCTAAGAATATTTTAGAATTTGAAGAGATCTAAATCATATATTTCAATTCCATGACGTTACAGATATGAAAGTCAAGGTTCCTTCCACACTTGGTGAACAGTTATCAGGACCCAGAATAAAAAAAAAATCTAAATTATGTCAAGTCAAGAAATTATGTTAAGTCAGAAAATTTGGTGCCAGCTTCTGACTACAGGTCATAACTAAATGCCATTAACTTCTCTTCTTATTAGATTACCACACCAAACAGGGAGGAAGAGAAGAAGGAAAGAAAGGGAGGGGGAGGATCTTCAAAAAGCTACCACTATCATCATGGACACTGTCTGTAAAAATACTCTTTAAAAGGTTCACAGGGAATACAAGAAATGTTCTCTCTTTATTAGAGTCTACAATTACATGATACATAGACTGAGTTATATAGTAAAGTTGAATTATCTCCATAATTATTTTCCCTTCAACCAGGAGTTAACTTCATGTCACAAGACTCCTTTGGCAAGCCATGACATCTATGAAACCCCTGCCAGAATGTTTTAAAATACATAATATGCACAGTATTACAAAGAAAATTCATTATACTAAAATATAATAATCAAAGCACTTTTAAAATAAGTTCACAGATGAAGGTTATGCACCTCTGCTCCACACTATAATACAGAAGACCTTTAAACACTTATATTAACTATTAACAGTCCCCCAACCTAAGCTATAAAATCCCATTCTAACCTAAAACATTACTAGCCTCAATGCCAAGATTCTATACAAGATTATCTAACAAATGGCTTAGTTAAAAAGCAAACATAATTTTGTTAACTTGTAGTTACAAAACTAAAAGACAAGTCAGAGAAAAACAGAATGATAATTTAGAGCTGAGGTTAAGTAACTTACACAAGGCCACAGAAGTAGTAAGCGATATATCTAGACTCTCTGACTCCAAATCTAGTGTTCTTTCCACTACATACCACACTATTTCTCTCTAGTTAATTTGTTTTCCCATAAAAATGTTTTCTATGTGTTCATTTGTCCACATTTTATCAGCACGGAAAAAGTAGTATTATAATCTTGACTCCAAAAACAAAATAACCGTATCTTTGTCATTTTTCATTACAAAGCTATAATGATATTTAAAAACCCACATTTTCACCAAAGGGTAGAAAGCCATTTGCCAAAGAAATATTCATTTTTCATAGATACATAACAGAAGTTTCCTTAATTGATGCCTTCATTCACTATAACAACTTCTCTGCAATTCATTTTTTTTTTATTGGTGAAGTAGTTGGGGTTAAGTGACTTGCCCAGAGTCACACTGCTAGTAAATGTTATGTGTCTGAAGCCAAATTTGAACTCAGGTGCTCCTGATACCAAGGCAGGTGCTCTATCCACTGTGCCACCTAGCTGCCCCTAATTCAATTAATTTTCATTCAAAACATTTTCCTAAATAAGTAAAAGGTACTGGATTAAGCACCTTAAGACACAAATAAGAAATAAAATACTGTTTCCTGCCTTCACAAAGCTAGTAACAGAAACAGAATGATAGAACTGAGACTTTTGAAATTTTATAATTAAATATTTTAAGTGTGAAGTTGACTTTTTTTTTTTTAAAGTTTACAATCCTGGAGATAAAAAGCTAAAAGCTTTTAAAATAGGGTAATAAAAAACAGGTAAACAAAGTAAAAACAGGGTAATAAATCAAGTTACTAAAGTATCTAAATCAACAAAACACAAACATTACTATTTGTAGGTTTAATAACAACTAACCAAATAGCAAGAATATATAATGCTATTTTCTTAATTATGTACTTCTATATCAGTGTGAAGATAATTATTTTGAAAAGCAGACTTATCTTGGCAAAGTAAATCAAAGCTCACCTAGCTCTTTAAATCTGGCATTTGCATCCAACAAAACATTTCGAATATTCTGAATGGCCCAAGCATACAACTTTCCAAAAGTTACTTCCAGCAGCATTCGATTAAACGGCGGAATCAGATCAACATCCTTTAAGCAATCTGTAAGTGGTTCCCTTTAAAAAATAATTACTTTATGTCAATTTAAATCCTAATATAAACATATTCCTCTTTAGAACATAATTTTCCTGAGGAATAAATACAACAATGCCGAATTTTACCCTATATTGGTTCCTTCTGGGATAAGTCTTTGCCATCCACAGAACATAGCATATTGCACAGATGGAAGCAAGAAACTTTTGGTTGCCAATTTTAAAATTGTGTCTATGCCTTCCAAACGAACTTCTGCTCTCTCCAACTGCAAAAATATAAATATTCGGCTTTTAGATTCTGTAAATTACCAAACACATAGCAGGAACAAGTTCTTAACAAGTGTTACCTGTTTGAGTAAGCACTTTCTCATCTTTTCCACATCGACTGGCTCTTCTTTAAGTGCAAATTCAACAATGGTGCTCAGCAGTGCAGACTGAGGATAGAGGCCTTGAACATTCTGCTTTAGCCACTTGTATTTGTGAACACCTGTGACTGTACTCAGAAGTGGCTGCCATTTATCCTTAAAAATACAAACAGTTACTGCTATTGGTTTTAAATGTCATTACTGACTTTTGTTCTAAAATTTTTAAACTATGATATCATCTCATTAAGTTTACTTCAAAAAAAATCCCAACATTCAAATCAAAATCTATATAATCATGTGAATATACTTTTATCATGAATGACAATTTTCCATACTATTCAAGAATTCTGAAATACACAAAGCAAACAAATATATTTTTCATAAAATATCTGCAAAATATTGAAAAAAGCTTTTATTATGAAACTAAAAAAAAAAAACATTTCTTACTACAAACACTTGTTTCTATTCCTACATTCAGTTTAAAACTCCTGGGGTTTCTTTCAACTTCTACAAAATGGGAAAATATCAATAAAATCTAACTCACGGTTGTTTTAAGAATCAAATAAGCTAACAAAGTGAAAGTGTTTTGCAATTCATAAAATGTGTCAGTGAAGATGATGAATAATATGCTTTAATAATTAGAATAATTTCTCAGAATTACTACTCATTGCATATTATGCAATGAAATGGTGGAAACAGCATCAAAAAAGAGAACAAAATAACAATGGTGATTATTATTATCATTATTATTACTATTAGATATGGTACTACTACCCATATTTTTTAGTACAGCAATGTCACTAAACTAAATTTCATTCAACAACTATATCAATTTTTATTAACTGCTTACAATATACAAAGCATTATGCCATACTCATTTCAGAGTCTAAGAACAAAATTAGAATACCAAATGGCACTTTCCTTTCCTAAATTACTACTTTTCTATTCAGTAAACTGCAAAGTCGAACAACATCCTTACATAACATACCTTAGGTGATTTAACTGGAACGGATCTTTTATCTACAGATACAGGACTATGTGGTAGAATACATGCTTCTTCTAAATCACCTTCTTCATTTCCAATCTTAGATTCTTCTACATCAGTAGGTTCTGACTTTTTGGGTACTATGTTAAAAAAAATCACTACATTATCATTTAATAATGTATCTAATTATAATTTATAATTTAATTGTCCTTTGAATTTGGAAATATTTAAATTTGAATCTAGATCTAGGACATTAAAATTTCGTTAAAATTAACTTACATAATCAAAAGACTTGAATAACAAAGTCAAAAGTTATTTCAGAAGCTCTCTCTGAAATATAGCTTCAGGGTTTAAATCAATCAGGTTGATTGTCAGAAAAATAAGACTACGAATTTATGTGAATTCCAATGAACTGTGATAAATATTTAAGAGAACCTGAAGTGGCATAAATCAACAAGTATTAGTTAATATCCTACAATGTGCCAAGCATTATACTAGGCTCTGGAAATACAAAGACAAAACCTGTCCCTGTCCTCAAAATACATACATCCAAGTATATACACGATTATCTGAAGGAGGAAGGAGGCATTATCAGCTGAGAGGACCCTGAGGTGCTAGTCAAGTTCCAAAAAAGGAAAAATTATATGCGAAAAGTATGAAAGTGAAAAGGAAGAGATGGACAACGGCTGAAAGTTTGAGTTAAAGTAGTTTGTTTTAGGATTCTGGAGATCTGAACATGTTTAAGAAAAACTGAAAATCAGGATGATTCATGGTTTATGGTCCCAGAAGAGGCAGAAGTGACAAGCTCAAAGACAAAAATGAATGGTTTAGCCTTGGGGCAAGGAATCAGGAAACCAGTGACTCAAATAAAATTGATGACACATGGGAGTTAAGGGAGCACATTTAAAATGGCATCAATCTTCTTCATAAAAGACAAAAATCATTTGTTATGAATGAGGTCTTGGAAGAGTAGTTGTGGAGAATCTGAAAAATGATCAAATAAGATCTAAATAAAAACTGTCAAACAGGAGTCAAGGCCATTCATCCGGGGTTAAAAGCAACAAAACTTTATAATGAGTGAAATCGGTATAATTATTACTTTCTTCATCAATATTCAACAGGCCAGTACTAACTACCCAAGGTCAAGAATTAACAGTAAAGTGACAGTAACAGCAGCAGCAAACATTCACATCATGCTTTAAGGTTAACATATATTACATTATTTACATATAGTATCTCATTTGATCCTCACAAGAACTGTGAAATAGGTGCTACTATTATCCCCATTTTGCAGAAAGTGAAACTGAAGCTGAGTGAGACTCAATGACTTGCACAGGATCACTAAGCTGACAAGTGTCAAGTTGGATCCAAACCTAGATCTTCCTGACACCATATTCAAAACTCCATCCATTATGCCATGAAACCTTGCAATTAATAGTGGATGTGGTCAGTGGAGCCCCATCATATCCATTCACACAATTTAAGTAGCTAAGACAAGGTAGGGAAGCAAGTGAAACAAGAGTGGGAGAAAATAAATTGGAGAACATGAAGGACAGAATGGTAGGAAGATGACTATGAGGGAAATGAAAATTCAGAATGAGTGAAAATTGAGAAAATATAAGTATAGGAGATTGTGATTCAAGATTAGAATTTCAGAATTCAGAATAATGAAGGTAATATATACAAGGCAACAGTAAGATAACGGGTGTCAAAAGTACAAAGACTGACATTAATTCCAATAACAGGCTCTTTGACAATTCATCAGAAAACAGCAATCTCTAATTGAGTTACCCAGGAATGCAATAGGAAAATTATGAAAACCTGAGTCACTGAGGAAGGCAGAAGAATGAACTCTCTCCTTCCATGTTCTGTGAATCAGTAAAGAACAGAAGGAGCAGCCTGCATCCAACCAGCAAGAGACAGAGTGAAATCAAGAGACAGAGAAAGCCATTTTTCAGTTAATTCGAGAGAATAGGAGGGGTGCTGGACATATCCCACCTCGCTGTCCCACAAGCATCTTACACTTGACCTTAAATGAACTTATTCTACATAAACAGTATCACTTACAGCAGTCATAACTGATTGGCTAAAGGAATATTGATCAACCAACAAGTATTTATTAAGCAACTACTATATGCAAGGCACTGAATGAGGTACTGGGGATACAAAGACAAAAGTGTAAAAATCTATGTACCCAAGGAATTTATTATGTTTTATCAGGAAAGGCTGTGTGTGTGTGTGTGTGTGTGTGTGTGTGTGTGTGTGTGTGTGTGTTTAAACACACTTCTACATTTGTGCATACACACAAATACACACATACTATCTATGTACAAAAGTCTCCCCTTTCCAGGCCATCTTCATTTGTTAATGAAAGATCTATTTTCTGATTAAAAAAAAAAATGTTATCCCTTGCTATGAAAAAAAAATAAAAATTCCTTAATGCAATATTAAAGACTTTCTTAAATCTGGGTGTAACCTATCTTACGCTCCTTTATTCATATTACTCCCCACTTCAGACACTTTATTCCAACAAAATAGGACTACAAGCTATTCTCTGATATCTTACCATAATCATCTTATACATGCACCTCAAGCAAGTCATCCCTCCATGGCTAACATGCACATCTTCCTCATCTCAGTTAAAATCTTTCAAGACACAATTAAGGTACCATTCTTCTATGAGGCATTTCTAGCTCTCTGCAGCTGGAAGTGTTGTCTCCTTTACGTCTATTATAATCTACCTTGTATTATATTTATTTGGATACACATGATATGCCCTACCAGACTGTAGGATCTCACAGGATCCTAATTTTAAAAGTAGAAGAGACTTCAGTGGTCATCTAATCCAATCTTCTCATTTGATGGATGGAAACTAAGGCACAGAAAGCTGAAGTGACTCACCTAATGTCACAAGAGTAATAATTTTCAAGATTTCAACCTACGTCCTCTGAGGGCAAACTGCCTTGAGGACTGAGACAGGTCATGTTTCTTATTCATATCCCCAGTGCTAGACACAGAGCAGAAATTAGATAAATATTTTTTGAATTGAAATGATACAGAAGAATTAAGAACAGTGTGGGAGTCCCAAAGAACACAACAGAAGATGCAAGTAGACTGAGTATTAAATGGGTAAGAATATTAAAAAAGAACACAGGGAACTCTCACAAAGATATATAACTTTAGTACAAAATACTACAGAGATTAAGAGACACAAGAACTGAAGACTCCGGGGTAAAAAAACACCTTTCAAGAGGAACATACAACTATTAATAAAAGATATCACTAACATACTTTTTTCCCTTCAAAAAAATGCAGATTAGACCATATCAGGTATTAAAAAAAATCCCAAAGGTTCAATCCAATTATACTAAGTTCACCTAGATGTCAACTACCAGTACACACATAATTTTAAAAAATTATTCATAATGAAATTTATTAAATTTAAAAATAAAAAATCTTAAGATTGTGATAAATTATATCATTTTGAATTTACTTTCTAAAAAGTAATCATCTAAAATAATAAATGATTTCTATAATATAGCTCAAGAACAGAAATTTAAAGGTTTTTTTACATTATTAAGTAACTTACATAAATAAGCAGGATTTCTACCTCTATCACAAGCATATATAAGAAAGTTAAGGCTATATGCCAATTTACATCACAGTTAATGAGTACTTATTATTTGAAAATTATAACCAAGGAAGGATCTTGCCTCCCCACCCCCTCCCCCAAATAAAAAAAAAAATACTTACAATCAAGAAAAAAAATGTTTGACAATATTTTCTCACTTTCCTTATATTCTTACCTCTTTTTTTCCTTCTCTCTCGTATTATCTTCTGAGCTATCCTTCTCCATCGAGGCAAAGAGCTTAAAAGTTTGAGTTTGGACATTATTGAGAGGTCATTGCAGACTGCAGGACGCAATTCATTAAAAAGGAATCGCAAACGTTCAATGACAGGAGCACACACTTCCTTATAAGAACGCCCCTGCTCCTGATGCGTCTATAAGTTAAACACATGGAGGTTGAGAGGGGAAGGGAAAAGAGACAGTCAATTATTTTTTTTTTACATAAAACCAGAAGATAAAGAAGAAATATATAGTCACTGATAATAAATGGCACATACATTTACCTTAATTAGTGAGCATTTTGCTTGGTAGACAACTCTACAAACATCCACTACAGATTTAGGCAACGTTCTGTGTTTAACTTGGTCAACACCAAGTGTAACTGGGTGAACTAAAGATAAGGCCACATGACCTACACAAGGCATTTTAAAAAACATAACATGAGCCGTTAGCATAAAAGTAAGGTTAGTCAAAAATATACTTGGAGTACATTTAAGACCAAAATTTTAATACCTAAATCTTCATGCTTTAGAAGACAACATAACAGTAGACGCCCCACCTCTTCCACAGGATGCTCAGGAGGAAATGTTATTGGTGTAGTCAAATGGCACTGCTTGCAGTACCTTTCTATCTGACATAAAAAATCCTGAAAAACAGAAACAATTAAACCTAAATTCTTAATAGGTATCACTATAAAATTATATAATCTTAAATATTTCATATACTCTGATACCTATACTGGTGCCAGGCATCTGAAATACTTTGAAACTTTACTTGAAAATAAAACCAAAGTCATTATCAAAAAATTCTTCCCTCTCATTTAATTAAAATACAAAATAAATTACCTAAATGAGCCCCAAAAAAGAGTATATAGAAATCAATGATAGAAAAGTGCCTGTGGCATAACAAAGTAAAACTAAATATTATTAAATGGCTGATGTGGGTATCTTTAAACACTTTTCTCAATTAATTAAAACACTAATCATGAGAATAATATTACCTTCACAGTATGATCCTGAATGTTATTGTCTGCAATGGCTTGCAAAAATGGTTGGGAATGATCACTCAAAGTCAATCTATGGGAATAGAGTTTAGATTTGTTCGGAGTGGTATTTCCAGGAGAACTGCAATGGTCTTCATCTTTCTCTTCATTGTAACTATAATGTATCTGACTGGTTTGCAAACCTCCAGAGAATATAGATGACTTAAGCCACGCTGGGGAATACAGAAACAAATTTTAAGAAGAAAATGTAGACACATTAGTAAGCAATTATATTCTTTACCTTGGGGAGGGCGCAGGGGCATTAATCATTGGGGTGTAGTCTAAAAAGTACTAGACTTGACATCAGAAGACTTGGCCTCAAATCTCAGTTTTTATTAGCTATTGACTCTAAGGCAAATTGCTCTGCCACTTTAAATTTCAGTTTATTCATACGTAAAATGAAGATAATTATACTTTCCCCACTTATCTTAAGTCCTTGTTGTGTGCAAAGTGCTATGTAAACCTTAAAATACAACAGGAATATGTGGAGGTATTATTTATGTGCCTTGAAAACTACACACTGAGCAGGCTCAAACAGCTGCATTTGGAATCAAAAACATTCAATTATTTCACAGCCTGTGAAGAGCACTGTTTCTGGCCCAAAAATAATAGAAACTAATCTACTGCCCTTGTTTTCAAGATTTATCAAGTAACGGTTGATATGCAAAGAGATATTAAGAATACTTATAAAGGAAAATACAAATGAATTTTAATATACTGTAAAATAAATAAAATAAAATGAAATGAGTAGATAAGCCCTGATTTGGGTCAGCCTGGACTGGGAAGACAAGAGTTGGGAGACCTACCTCTGATACATACTAACTATGTGAACATAGGTAAGTCACCCAAGCCACTAAAACTGTAAGAAACAGGCTACCAATCTTAATGAGTGGAAGGAGTTTCGATACCAGTACCAATGAAATAAATCACAGATCCAGACCCCTCAAAAAGCCTTGCCTGGGGTATTAAGTAAACATAGTAAGATGAATTCTGAGGAAACACTTTGTAGGAAAAAGCTGACAATCTTGAACTGAGTTTTAGAGTACGGAAGTATGAAGACTAAAAAAAAAGGATGGGAAAAGCTTTTCATATGAAAGAAATGACATATGTTAAGGCAGACAAGTCATGTAGGAAGAAAGCAAATATGCCAACAAGCAACTGTTTTTGCACACTGTCAATCAAACGATTATGTTCCACTGAGGTAGGAGCTGGGAATACAAAGAAAAAAGTGAACACCCCTGCTCTCTAGGACCTAACAATCTATTGGGAAGACAACATACACTACATATAACTATATGCAAAAAAGATATAAGAAAACTGGGGGAGGAGGGACAACTGCACCTCAGAGGAATGAGGAAGGCTTCTTGTAGAAGGCAGTGCTTAAACTGAGCTTCCAAAGAATCTAGGGCTGTTACAGGAGAAAAAAGAAAGCAGCACATTTCAAGCATGGGGGACAGCCAATTAATGCAAAGGCAATGACTGAGGCAGTGACGTGTGAGCAGGGGTAACAGCCTGAGAAAGTACTCAGAGGCAGACAGATTAATTAGTGTTTATGATAAGGGCACAGAAGGAGCAAAACATGAGAAGAAATGGAATTTTATCATGACACAAGAATGTCAACATTTTTGACATATTGAAAGACATGTAAATTCAGTTCTTAATTGCATACAGCAAAATGGTAACAGACAAGTGAGTCACTCTACATCCTATCTTGGCACCTTTATCTGTTAACTGATCTTATGTACCTCCACAAAATTATCTTTTACAATACTCACAAGGCAATCATCCGTAATATGCCAAGGGAATACTACAGTTACTTTCAATTGACAGTACTTTGGTAGGAGAGGTCAATTATCACTTCTTTGTAGATGAAAAACTACTTAGTGGAAGGACAACTATTTTTCAGGATCATCTATCTCACATAATTTTAACTCATACCAACCAGAACAAGTGATAATACAAAAACTGACAGTAACCATAAATATACAATGATACATGAAAAACTATCATTAAAATAAGTGTTTAAGTAACATAGTTTCCATCACTTGATGCAGCAAATCAGTTACAAATCAGGGAGAAGTGAGGGTTACTTTAAATTAGATAATTATCACTATCACATAACATTTTTATCTTGAGCTCTTCATCAAAATAAATAAAATTGGAGCAGGGATATGATAATAATTTTAGCACATTCAAAAGTAGGTACTCCTTGATAGTTTGTAAGTTAGGCCATTTTTGTAATCATGTTTAAGAGATTCGATTCATTCCTAATTGTATTCTAATGTTTATCGTTCTGATATCACTTCAAATTTAAATTTGCATAGTCTTTATTTTCCTAAATATAAGAGTAACTTAATCACAATTTTTACTAATTAACAATACCTCCTCTTCCATAATGCTACTTAATGGTAAATTGATACTAAGATCAATTTAATATGCTGATTAATATTTAATTCAAAGAAAGAAAAATTTTTCTTACTGGCACATTCAACCTCCACAGGAGACAGTGGTGTGCTCATTGCTAAATAGGAAGCATGAAGTCCAAGAAGGAGACCCAGATTTCGTTCTGGATCTATGAGAGGTGAAGAGAGACTGCTAAGGTCTGGCGTTGTAATCACTTCCTGGTCAGGCTAGTAAAATGAAAAAAATCCATCATCAACTTGAGAATATAGATTTAATTTAAAATTATAAACATGAAAAAAATTCACAATTTACATTAAAAAACAACTAGTCTAAAAACTCAACTTGGGTTCCTGATTCCTACTCACTCATACCATTGTTCGTGAAGACAACAGTTTTCTAAAAATAATAGTGTGCTACACTGGTAGAATTAACTTTTCTGCATGTTATTTGAAAGTTTAAAGCACCTTAATTTGATGGCATATATCAAATGCACATTTTTATTATAAATCAAAATGAAGCTACAGTTACATTTACATTAGAAAATTACTCAAGAAACAGAAAAAGTTCCTAGGGCTAAAGTACCTAGTTCTTCAGCATATACCTTGCATAAAATGGTTACATTCTGCAGCAACCCTGTGGAAACCAAAATAACTATATACTTACATATTACTACTCTCCTCCACTAAATGTGGACAAAGACATCAAATGAATAAGCAGTTTCTGCTCTACTAAAAATGGAACCCTTTCCAAATAAGAGTCAAGTATTAATCAGGTTCAAGATGATTTATTCATTCGACAATGAATTTGTCAAAAAACAGAAAAACTAAACTTTACTCATTTGCTAATCCTCTAATATAAAGTTTTACTTACAGAAAAGTTTCTAAGTAAGCCAAAGGTGATAGTCTTTGGGTTTTATTATTCATGCTTTATAAAAAGTTATTTAAGTAAAGGAAAGGTTCAGCATAAATATTCATTAACTTCATAGAAATCTTCTGCAGGAAGTAACTTAGCAATTTCACATCCAGAATAATTATCCTCTATAGAGCAACACTGCCTACCTTAACTGTTACGACATATAATGCTTTTTTGCTCTCAAGTTATACAGTAATACCAAAAATCAAAATATCTTTTAAAAGAAGTGACTAAATAATTCTCCAACATTCTTGGTTATACCAACTATGACAATAATACTGTGCTGAACTGGAATGAATTGCTGTATCCCAAGATAAGAACAGGCACACATTTTTTTCATTCTTGAGTATAAATCCAACTTTCCATATAACTTAAGAATAGAACATTTAAGCAAAAAGGCATACAAATTACATTTCTTCTGAAAAATACTCACATCTTCCACATTAAGTATCATTTTACCAATAATTTAAATAAATTTAAATAAATAATTAGCACACCACCGTATTTTAGGTTGTCTTAACGATAAGCTTACATAAGAAAACACGTGTTAAATTACTACTGATGACAATTTGTTACATAAATCATATCACAAAACTAAAAACAAATTTCACCAAACAGAGATGCAATATGACATTTACTCAACTCAAATTTTACCTCCATATATTGGCCAACACAAAATGCATGCATTGATTCCCTTGTATCCTCAAATTGCAAAGCAGCTTCCAAAGCAACTACTGGGTCATCACCTGCAAACTGAGCTATAATAAAAAGGACCAAAAAAACAAGAGATGGAAATGCCAATAATTATAAAAAAGGAGTACCATTTCAAAAATATTTATAGACCTAACTGCTTAGATTCCAGCCTTAATATAAGGATTAGTGTTTGACAGAGATATTTATCAACATCCTAAGAACAGGGAATATCTAAAGACTCTTCCTAATTAAGGCTAAGGTAAACTCAAGAATGAATGAATGAAGAATAATGAAAGAGAGGTGCTTAGCCCCAATCTGACTGGCACTGCATAAATACTCTGAAGCCATGGACACATCAAGGTGTACTAGATGATCTATAAAGTAAATAATCTAAATGTTCTCTATAAAACGACAGTTGATACAATTTCTGATTATGAAGTTAAAAATTACATCTTACCAAGAATACTATTGCCTGTTAAAGATTGTGTCTGAAAGTCTTTTATATCATACACTTTCCCATCAATCACCGTCCAGAAGCCTCCATCTTTATTGTGGTTCTCCAGATCAGCTTTACGTATAAGTGTTACTTCCTCATTATTCCTACAACTTTGACCAGTAAAAAATGACCCTGAACAGGAAAGGAAAAATGTGGTAAAATATCTCTCATTGCTAAGATGCACACACTATATTTTCATCGTGAAACTTACATTATAAAGAAAATAGCAAATTGAGGGGGGAAAACGGTAATAGAACGGTCTAGAATTGGTCAACAGAACTTCTCATAGAAAACAATAAAGTAAATGCTGCAGTATGCAGCAGTGCTGACTAGCCATAAACTACCATGAAAATGAAAACAGAAATAAGATACACACAAATTCCTTCCCAAATGACCCAGAAATAAATTTTGGACATCTTAATTATTTACAAAATAAATTTAATTTAAAGTCTTTAAAGTTTCCAAAAGTAAATGTAAAAAAAAAACAACAACAAAAGACTGAGAGAATCAAGTCTATATATGAGAAAAAGGAAAATGGACACAAGAAGGTCTGTCCAAGAAGACAACAATGAGCATATAAATTGATATAGTGGCAATTAGATAAAAGAAGAGGGGACAGATATGACAGATATTATGAACACAGAACAGACAGGATTTGTTAACTGACTGGATACAGCAAGTAGAGGAAAAAGAAGAGTAAATATTTATATTAAGATTTCAAAAACAGCAGACTAGTTGAAAGACATTGCCACTAAGACAAAAGGAAAAGTAGGTTTTGGAAAAACAAAAAAGTAATTTGATTTTGGACACACCTGAGATGCAAGTGAGACATCCAGGTAAGGGTCTGATGCTCAGGACAACAGTCAAAGCTTTCTTATGAGTCATTTACATAGACATGATTAGACATGATAAATGAAGCAGTGCAGGTAAATGAGATTGCCAAAGGAAAAAAATCATTAACACTGAAAAGGGAACTCAATGCTGAATTCTGGCATCCCTGATTCTAAGACAAGCTTTTTTTTTCAGAAACAAATTTTTTCAGAAACAAATTTAATCTCATAAACTTTTTAAGCTGTACCCTATAATTAAAGGGGAATTAAGTAAAAGTAAATACATAAACCTACTAGTACAAAATGTGAAAATAATCAAGATCATGTACCAAGATGAGTGAACTATAAATCTAGGTTATGACTTCTTGTGTCTTTACATTTTACTATGTCCCTAAGTCCATGAGACTTGATTCTCCCAGACATGTGACTTCGATTTAAGAACACACAAAAAGTATAAATCATAAAATGGATACATCTATATTTCAAGTAGCAAATATAATCAGAATGAATTTCATCACCAAATAATACAATTTCTCTAATAAGATGAAAATAATAAAAATAATCAAAAGATTCAGAGAATGGAACTATTATCAATCCACAAGTTTCATTCCAAAGAAGTACAATTTTATCAGGACAGTTAAAGATAAGATTAGTAGCTATCATTAACACTGAGCATGTAAAAAGAGATACTGGCCTAGTTCCTCCTTCCACCTCTAAGCTAGATTATATCTTTGAGATGCTCTAAAGCAAAGAATCTATTATTTCTCTGAAGACAAACCATCCCACACCCTCCGCTCCATTTTCATACTCCCTCATACTCTTCCCATTTTCAGAATCTCTCATTAGTCTATTCCACTATTTAACAAAACTAACAGAAATTATTCATACACATATAGTGTAAAGTTCTAATCCCATACTAAAATTTTATTTCTTACTATGCTTTTTGTGGATAGAAAAATTACTTCTTATATATCTCCTCTTCACAATAATCCTTGCACAAAAAAGCAAGGGAAAAAATTCAGTATCTAGAATGTTACTTCTAAACAAAAGATTTTTATGACAAATGACAAACTAAGATGTTTCTCACACTTCTGACTGTGAATACTTTAAGTTAAAACAACATACCCATTATTCCAGGCCATGCTAAATCCTCATTATCATCTCTCTCTTTTCCTGGTGCTAAATGGTTAAACCTATCCAGATGTTCCAGTAGGCCAGCCAAGAGAGGAATAGCCCCAGCTTCCTGCATTAATCCAGGACTTTTACTGAGGAGGAGGACAATAGATACTATGAGCTCTGGAAGGAGAACACCTAAAGGAAAAAGAAAATATAGTGAGCTCTAAGATAATATTTTAAGACAAAAGCTATTTCAAAGTATCCCTTAAACTGAGTTACTAAAAAACACCTCCGGTTTTAGATTCTGTTCCCTTTTCACTAAGTCATGATTTGATACTTAAAAAGTATGGAATTTTTATTTTACAAAGCTGGAAGAACATATTTTTCCTAAAATAATTTCCTTCAAAAATCACATCTATTAAATATGTCATCTATCCTGAAAGTTTTAAGAGCCTATCAGTACTCTTTTCATCATAAAAAGGCATCAGGCTAAATTTCCAACTAATAATTTCTTTCCATTTCATCAAAAAAAAAATCCTACAGAGGCTGTATGTCACAATACCAAAATTTCTTATGTTTCTAGCAGGAATGACAGTCTTTTGTCACTGTAACAAAATTCAAAATTATAAAGACATGTTGAAATTAGTCAAAATCTAAGCAATCAAAAATCGCATTCATCTATTACAAGAACTACCTGTTAGATCACCATCCACAACACGAGATACTTCTGCAAAGTGCCGATAACTGGTAGACGCAATGCTAGTTGCCACAGGCAGTATATCTCCAATGTGCGTACACAAAAGAGCTGTATATTTTTTCAGCAAAGAACCAACTCCTAACAGCTCAGGACCTTGAAGAAAAAATTACACAACAAAGAATTCTATTTCAAACTGCATTTTATTCATTATTATATTATGCTATTTTGTTTATAACCAATTAAAGTTTTACCATCATTCTCTAAGGGGATCTTAACTTTTTTTTATGTCATGGATCTTCCTTTGGCAGTCTGATAAAGCCAATGAATCTGTTCTCAGAATATTCATAACTGGTATGCTAAATTTTAGTTAGAGGTTGTTGAAAATAAAGATGTAGTTTTTTTCCCCTACTCAAGTTCTCTAACTCCCTGAAATCTATCCAAGGATCTCCAAAGGATCAACAGATCCCAAGTTAAGAACTTCAGTACTAGGTACTCCTCTCATCTACACTAGTAATCAACTTAAGTTTAGTGCCTAATTATTCTCCCTATCCCATAGGTCTTATCTACATGCTTAGATCATATGGTCAGGCCTTTTAATGTATTAGATCACATGACCAATCCAGTTAAATATTTAGTTATACAATACCTAGGACAGAGTTATTAAAATGCTAAATAAAAGGAATAATAGATGTTTTGTAACATACAACTTCCAAATTCTCCAATTTAAGTTATTAAATTGGAATAATTCTTGGCAATTTTCCAAAAATGCTAGGTAGTACAGTGGATGGTGGGCTACACCTACAATCAGGAAAATTTAAGTTCAAATTCAACCTTAAACTCTTGCTGGCATTCAGTCTGCCTTAGTTTTCTCAACTATATTACAGGGATAATTACAGCACCTACCTCCCAAGTCTGCTGTGAGGTTCAAATGAGGTAATATTTGTGAAGTGCTTAGCAGATTTCCTGGCATATAATAATGTGTGGCTTTTTTTTTAAAGTCTCAATTCTTTTGAGCATTAAAAATATTTATACTTTAGATGAAATTATTTAAATTGCTAACCTGTGATAATAAAGAGTTTTTTTCCATACAAAATGCTAATTTTTTTAATCCATTTGGTTGTTTTCCATGTCAAAACCAGTAAACATCTTCAATTTCATCTTTTCCTATCTACAAAATCTTGTTTTGTTAACCTGGGGGGGGAGGGGGGTTGTGGCACACACGTGTGTGTGTGTGTGTGTGTGTGTGTGTGTGTGTGTGTGTGTGTGTGTACACCTTTTAGAAAACCAAACTTATTCATGGAGAACTAGAAGAACTTAGATGCAAAAATATAAAAAATGCAGCAAGGCTTAGTCTACTGAGATGGAGCAACTTACTTAAATGATTCCTTATTTCCTAAGTATGATAGTTCCCAAGGCTCTGACACCAGTATGTGTATTATAATTCTGATAAGTTTACTACACTTAATTTGAAATAACAATTTTACTAAAGAAGCACAAACTTGTATTCTCTGACATGATCTGCATTCAGTTTGAAAGCACAATTAAGTAAAAATGTTCAATGGTTTTAATGAAGATATGTTCAATAGGAAAACTGAGAAGAAAATAATGTTATTAATTTTAAATCAGCATTTAATACGAACATCCAAGTTCAAATTGAAAAGTATAGATGACAAACATCTTAAATATTACTAAAAAATTAAGCTACTTACTAAAGGAATTTGAGACCTGACCACCATTGTCTCCTGGATAGAGTTTACTGACAAGTAAACGCTGAAAACGAAGCAACAAATCCAGGGAAGCAGATCTGTCTTGACTATATTGCTCATGGTCAAGACAGGATGAAATTCGACGAGCAACATCTTTCAATTTGGCTATTGTCTGGGAAGCAATATTTCTAAGTGAAATAAAAAAGATGTTTTTTAAAATGTTATTACATTGTGCAAAAAAAAGGCTATGATATTCTCTGAAAAGCATCATAAAATTCTACTCTATTCTAAACTTACAATTTAAAAAAAAATTAATCATAAGAGAATGCTGTGGACCACCAAACTGTTTATAGCTATTACTGCTATAACATTCTATGATTTTTTTTTTATCCAAAGCTGTTACTTCATTGGCACAGGCAAATCCTAGCATGAAAACTCCTTCTACCAATGCATTTTGGCACTGCTCTGCAACTTTATTAGACTTAAAAAGTTGTATGGAACACTGAGAGGTTAGGGTAAGTGATTTGTCCAAGGTCCTATACTCTGTTATAAGCACTACAGAAAACTTACACAGTACAGGGTCTGTGAAGTCAGAAGAAAAGTAAGTTTTGAAATTAGCACTAAGGTTTTTTCATGCAGTAAAGGAGCACTGGATTTGAAGTCGAAACACATGGATTTGAATTACAACTCTGCTACTTATTACCTGAGTAAGTTTGGGTAATGAATCTCTCTAGTCATTATCAGTTTCCTCAGCTTAAATGAGGGGACTGAAATTAATCTCCAAGTTTCCTTCCAGTTCTAAATCCTATGAGCCTATAATTACCATTACAAAAGTGCATATCATTCAATGAACTTAAAATATTTCATATTCTAACTCACCAGTTCTCCCATACTGTGAGATTGACAAATAAAAGGGCACCATTTTACAATAGCACACTCCCAAAAAAAGTTCTTTATGAATCAAATAACTGTAAATATCCTGGCAGAGCTTGGCTGGTTTTACTCAATTTATAAAGCATTTAATAAGTGCCTCATGTATAAAGCACTGAATTAGGCACTGGGGATACAATGAAATCATTCCTTTCCCTCAAGGAACAATCCTTTCTTCCTACTTAAGGGGAAGAGGATAGAAAGGATACAACATTCACAAAGTAAACACAAAGTATACTAAGCATATTCATAGTAATTTTGATGGGGGTTAGAAATCTCTTGTGGGAACTGGCACCTGAGCTGAGATCTTAATGGAACCAGAAGTTCTAACAGGCAGATAAGAGAGAGGGCACTCGTGTACAGGAGGCAGCCTCTGAAAAGACTTGGAAACAGTCAATAATCTATCATGAAGAAAGAACAGCAAGTCAGAAAGTCTGGCTTACAGAGCATATAAGGAGGAGTAACATAAAATAACTCTACAACAGAAGTTCTCAACTTAGGGTCAATGGATAGTGAATAAAGTCTGGGGATAGATTTCAGGGGAATCCATTAACTTAAATGGGGGAAAAAAAATCACATCTTTATTTTCACCTCTAACTGAAATTTGGCACTTCCTTCAACTAGACAACTGGGCAACAGACACCCATTCAGAGAAGGGATCCACATAAGCTTGACTAGGCTGCCAAAGAGGATCACAACTCAAAAAAAATTAAGAACCCTTCCTCTAAAAAGGTAGGCTGGAACAAATTTCTCAAATGCTTTTTAAATGACAAACAATGGCCTTTTCATTTTATCTTAGAGGTATAAGAGAGCCACTGAATTTTCTTGTGAAGGACAGTGACATGGCTTTATATCAGTGCTTTAGGAATATCAATTTGGAAGCTATGTGCAGAATAGACTAGAGAAGGGAAAGGCTGGACAAAGCAAAACCAAATAGTTGCATGTTACAGTAGTCAGTCATCAGGTGATAGAGGGCCTGAACTAGGTTAGTAGCCTTGGGAGTAGAGAAAGGGGACAGATGCAATAAATGTGATAGAAATATGGAACCAACAAGATATGAAAACTAGCCAGACAGGGAACTGAGAGACAGGAAATAATCAGAATGATGAAGAGTTTACATACTTTACGGATTTCATACTTTTGTGAAGCAAAAAAAAAAAAAAGACTCAGATTTTCATATTATTTTTCATATAAATCTATCTTTATATTTTCATACCCACTTTACAGGTTTTGAAATAGAAACAATAATAGCTGCACTATCAGTGTTAATATTTGCAATGCACAGCTGCCAAATACTCTCTTATTAAAGTTGTGTGATGGGGAGAAGTAATACCATGGTTATTGGAGGGAAACGATGATGTACAATCAAGGTGAGTAGAAAATGGGCCAAAAGTAAAGCAAAAATCAGGAAAAGAATTAGCCTATAAAGGAGCAGCAGCAGCTAATGCTAGCAACCTGACCTATTCACTAGTTTCTGTATTAAGAGAATAAATTATTATTTGTTTTAAACTCCAAGAAATATTCTTGAACAGTGTAACAATAACCTTAGACCCCAAAACACTGGCCATCCTTCTGTCCACCCTGGAGTGTCAATGCTGTTTCCATAGAACCTTCTCATTTGGGTGTGAGTCACAAAAGCAGTGTATTATCTCTAAGTTTCACAAGAGAAGAAGAGTTTTCAACAAAAACCAGTTAATCTCTGTCTTCTTAACCTCTAGATAACGAGATAACTTCCCCTCTTAATCTGTATGAATGCAGCCAAAATAAATGGCTGCATTCATACAGATTAAGAGGGGAAGTTGGTGAGGATTACTCCCAGAGTAGGCGAGTTTGCCTACAGCGTAACTCTAAAACACTCCCTACCTTGACCTTATCAACTATCTAAAGAAGTCTGTACTCTTACAGTTAGGCAACACCTGCAAGCACAAGACAAAAAAATGGAACACAGTGATCTATCAACTGGAAGGCATCCAGGTTAAGGAGCATATACTTGCTACAACTTTTTAGTCACTTTATATGCTAATGCCACATGTATCCTGGAGAAATCTACTACCATTTTGGAGAATATTTCTGCTGATAGCATCACTCAGAGGATTAATTCTAGGAAACTAATAACTGTAAGGAAACAAGCATAAGAATGAGGGATAGCAAGATTCTCTTGGCCACTTTCAATTCACAATAGATGGATGCCTGAGAAATAGTCTTGTCTGACCCTAACGACTGTCCCTTCTTAGAGATGCTGAACACTAGTACATAAGGCCTCATCTTCCAGTTTATGGACAACCATTAGAATCTGTACCTGGCACTAAAATTTCCCCGACTAGACAGGATAGTATGAACCTAATAAAGTAATTTGTTGACTTGCTTAAGGACAAATTTAAGAGTGGGATTGAGAATCTTGGACTTTCTGATACAACATAAGATGAGGTGTTTCTTATTATTTTGTGGTTTAAATATAAACTTTGCTATATTTAAAACAGTCACTCTTAACATTTAATAACTTGGAAAAACATCATATTTTCTAAGAATAAAATTCAGTCTCCTTCCTCAGGACCCTAATAAAAATTTATAATCAGGAAAGGCTTGACCATTAAAGTATAAAGACTATATATTTCACCTAGCAGCTTATTTTTTTTGTTTAGTTATTTTTATTTATTTCGTCAAATATTTCCCAATTACACATTAAAAAATTTAACAATTTTTTAAATTGAGTTTCAAATTCTCCTCCTTTTCTCTTCTTGAGAAAGCATGCAATTTGATGTTGATTGTACATGCGAGGTCTGTTAGCTATGCTGTGACACACATACACACACAATGAAACCATCAAAATAAAGAATTTTTTTAAAAGTACACTTCAATCTCTAGCAGTTTGTTTTCAAAATCAGGTGGCAACTATTGGCCTCCTAAAAGCAACTATCCTAAGAAAAAAAAACTTATTTTCAAATTATTTTCCATTTTGGGGGCAATGTTTCTTAACTCAAATTTCCCAAATGATAAGCAAAATAAAATATATCTTAATTTTTTTTATTTTTACATCTAAAATTTGGAAAGTATTTTATCACCTAACAGATTAAGTATTCAATAACAATTTTACATAACCATCTCTATCTCACTGACAATACCTACAATAATTTTACTGTATGTAAACTGAAAGGGAATGCTGACATTAGAATGGTCATGTTAACGAACACTCCCTTCCACCAAGTGTCCCTAAAATTACTACACAGGAAATAGGGGGTACAAACAGCATCAATGGATGTAGAGCTAAGGTAGCCAATTCCCATCCTAGAAGTTCAATGCAAAGACACAGTGAGATCTGGGAAGTTACAGTGTATATAAAGATTTCTTATCAATTAACCAAAGACCCATTAAATCCAGTATTGAACCTCTAACAGTGGCACCAAAGAATATGCTGAAGGAGGGAATTTCCACCCTCAGTAATATCAAACTTACCTCATCCTTTTTGGACTTATTTTTAGGATTATTAACCACTGTATCCAAGTTTTTCATTTGAGTCAAAATTAATCAAAAACAGTCTGAGTTTCTCCATGTGGCTGGTACAGTGTGATAAGTACTAACCGTAAAAAGTTTCCTCTTTCAATCTGCAAAGGGTGCTGCACACTTTTGATATTCTCACTTTGGTGAACAAGCCATATTCAATCTATCCACATAGATAATTTTAAAATATGAAACAACACTGGTGAGTTGCTTTACAAATCTTACAGTGTTATATATACATATATATATATAAGCTATTATTATAATTAAAAATCCTAATTGTAACTAGCCACCCACACCCATTCTAGTCTTGTCTCGCCAAGTCAAAAGTTCTAAATTTGTTTAGTCAGTCATCTTATTTATAGAGATTTTATTCTTTGTTTATTATGTCTTTCTTAACATGAAGGGACCAGAGTCCTTTAATATATACAGCACTCAGTACTCCAGAACAGCTTAACTATAGTACTGCTACATAATCGGAAGAGAACTTCTGCTGTTTCACTGGCATTCATGACCATAAAAGCACAACAGGTTTTTAGGGAACAGCTTAGAATTACTCTTGGGTTCTGTTCCTACAGTGTCCTTGACAAAGGTACCATCCACATTTGTTATTTTAGATCTTTTCCATTTCTGCCTATTACAGGATATCGCTCCACCAGGTAACCTCCCTCACAATTTCCAATCTCATAAAAATGTACCTTCATAATCTTTCTAATGGGTGGAATGATCTAAGTTACCTTGGTTGACTGCTTGAGCCAACGTTCTTAATGAGCAGCAAAGGGCCAATATATTTATTCTTGCTTCACCTCAACCCTAAAATTTACAGAAGAGTGATGCTGATTTTAAATCTGCCCACCGTTCCCAAAGGACGTGAAGTAGCTGTCTTTATCTGATACTCCTCTTGGAAAAAAGAAAAAAAGCTTAGTAGAGACAATTATTCATGCCAACCTTCATATGATATCTTTCTGATCATGCTTTTAAAAGACTATATACCTAAGGAGCTGTTGTATTAGTTGAACCAGAGGTAAACTCTGTTTTCCAGCAGATTCATAAATTCCAGTATTAATAAGGTCTTTATCTAATGGCGTCCTACTCCGATGAAGCGTTGAAGCATTTGCTTCCTGTTCATCAATCTCTTTTTCCTTCTGAGCTTCTTTTTTTGCTTCAATATCCTATGACACAAAAAGGAGGGAAATATTAATAGGTATCTTGTTAGCAAACTAATAAGATTCTTAAGCAGTCTATGAAAGAAATCAGCAGAGACAAGTCACTCTGGATTCTCACAGCTTCAACAAGAAGACATAGAAAGATTCTAAATAATTCCTAAAGGAAATGAAAAATTAACAAATTTAACAAAATCATTCAATGCAGAAATAAACTGCCTTGATATGGTATAATTAGGCCAAACTAAGACCCCAAATAAAATGAGACATCAATATTGACAAATCTCACATTGTCAGTTTCTCCCTCATTATTGACTCCTTCTCCAATACATATAAAAAAGTTCAGTCCTCCTTAAACCTGAAGAATTAACCTTCCCTCACTCAACATTAACCAACTAGAAAATATTCCATTTCTCTCCTTATTTCACTGACAATTCTCCTCTCAAGAAGCTATCAACACTTACATATTGATCTCCTGTCATCTTCCTCTCCCAAATATTCCACTAAAAATGCTTTCTGTAAGGTTACCAGTGACCTAATTACTAAGTTCAAAGGTTTTCTTTCTCCATCCTCAGAGTCCCCTTCACTGGCTGCTGACCACATGTTCAGCAACACTGACCACTTTTCCAAAATTCTCTATTCCATTAATTTCCTAGATATTATACTCTTCTGATTTTACAACTACCTCTGACTTTTACGATCTCCTCTTTTCTTCCCTGTCTCCCAAGTGTGAATAATCCCCCAAGAATATGTCCTTAGCCCTATTCTCTTCTCTGTCTACCCATTCTGTCTCAAGATTTTACATCCTTAAGGCTTCAATTATGCAGGTAACTATCAATATCTAGCCACAATCTTCCTTTTGACCTCCATATTTCCAAACGCCTACTACATATTTCCATTCACACATCAAAACAATCTGTTTCAGATAAAGCTCAATTTCTCCCCTTCCCACTCCCAAATAGTTCCACATCTTCTCACTATACTACTTTTATTAATTGTACTACTGTTCTTTCCATCATCCAGTTTGCAACTTCTTTCATATTTTACTTCTTTCTCCTCCCATAACTCCATTAAGACAGTTACCAAATCCTATGAATGTCCCCTTCAAAATTTCTCTCACAGCTCTCCATTCCTTTAACTTTCCACTGCCACCACCTAAATGAAGACCTTTATTAAGATCATGCCAAATTACAGCAGTACTCCTAACAGATCTCCAGGCCTCCAATCTCTTCAATCTCACATTTATCTTAAGGCATTGCTTTCTTTGCGTCAATCACATGCTCAAAACCTTTAATGATTCCTCATTTCTTATAGGATAAAATACAAATTTCTTACCCCTACATTTCAGGTAGTCCAAAATTAGGCCCTGATGCATGAAGCTTTACAGGTTTCTTTCCTACTATCTCTTGCAAGTATTCTATGCATCAGCCAAAGTTAACTACACAGTCCCCAACTCTATTCTTTTCAACTCTGTTCTTCCTTACACAACTGTATTCCTCTCTAGTATCTTCTTACCCAAACTCATTCCATTCTTTAAAGTCCAATTCAAATTTCACTACCTCTACAGATCCTTTCTTGATCAACCCAGTGAGAAGTTATATTACGCTCTTAAGAATTTCTAGGCAAACTGTAAGCTTCCTAAATAGAGGAACCATTTCACACACCTTTCCCTCATGTTCCGAATCATGCCCTGCTTGTATTCAAATATCTGCGACAGACAAATTAAATAAACAGATGAATGAACAAATGAATGAAGCTATTTAATAAGTGCTTTTCAATGATGGCAATTAGATATCACGCAAGGTAAAAACCTTTTCCCTAAAAAAGATTTTTGGATTGCTTATGACAAGAATGGGGAACCTGCAGCCTCAAGGTCACATGTGGCCCTCCAGATCCTCAAGTGTAGCCCTTTGACTGAACCCAAACTTCACAGAACAAATCCCCTTAATAAACCTGACAGATCATCTATGTCAGGTCCCCACACGTGTTCCTCTTCCTATTTTTCATGATAAACTTAGCCTGTATCTTTAAGGAGATACCTAAGTACTCTATAACGATGGTTTAAGCAGCTGACCAGCATGTGTAAGAAGAGACACATGTTTACAAGGTTAAACTGAAACAGAAAGGACATAGAAAAGACAGAACATAGAACATTCTTATATATCCTACTGTGGAAAATTGAAAGTGCTAATATCACTATATTTCTCATTTTGAAAAATATAAATACTTCAGAGTAGAGGCAGTTATGTTGTAAAAATTTCTTTTTGTTTTTGGAAAGGGTGTGGTCCTTTTCTCTTCCTACTGCTTATTTTAGGTAGGGGGACGTATTCTCTCTTTTGCTTGCACTCTCTCACTCTCTGTATCTCTCTTTCTCTCTTTCTTAATCTCTCTCTCATTCTCTCATTTCATATTTTCCTGAAGACCAAAACATTAAGACACATTTCATTTTTCTACCCAATCAAAAGCTACACCCCAGAACAAATGATCCAATGCATCTTTGAGATCTGTCTCTCTCCACGACTATGTCCTAACTTTCCAGGAGTATCTTTCACTACAATCTGAAGCCTCCACTTTTGTCCTCAACATTGTGTGTGTTTTCTCTTTTTTGAGCCTTAGCACTGTTCACCTTCCTTCTGTGTTTCTTCTCTACTTGACTATAATGTATATAATTATTAGACAATGTTAAAGCTAAATTTTTTATGCAAAGTAGTTATCTGAGCAAATTCTTATATTAAAGAACAATAGTTTGCATATTTGTATTGGGGCTAAAATTCTCCCACTGTGATCAATGTATTATTTTATAGTTTTGTAAGCATAATAAACTTAAATTTATACTTTCATAGGAATACTTGTAAAAGTATGAGTCATTGGGTACAATCCACACTAATGATTAAAAGATGCCAAATTCAAAGAATTCTCAGAATAAAAGAAACACATATTCATGAAACAGCTCTCACGTGTGTGTGTGCGCGCACGAGTGCACACTCATACCAACAACACACACGTGCACACGTGGTATATCAAAAAAAAGTTTATTGTCAGATTATACCTGAATTTCTGCAGTGATGGCAGCATTTAATGCAGACTCTAATCCTCCATCGGCCATCAAACTGCCTACAAGAAGATCAATCATAAACCGACGTCCTGGGCTTACATTCATATCATTTCCTGAAACTTTAAAAAAAAAAAAAAGAAGACTTGAAATGAAAGCAAGTAACTTCCCATAGGTGGGTGGGAGGTGGGGGGTTAAGGGTAGGACTGCAAGGCTGCTATATCTTTTATCTATTTCTTTTTTTCCTTAGTCCCACACCTATTTCCAAGCCTACCTGCACTGGGTAAAAGAGCTGAAAGAGCCCTTGCTCGTTCCTCTGCTGTTGGAAGCAGCACAGACCATCCACTTTGTAGTACTGCTTGAGCAGCTGATTGCACCGTATTAAGAACTCCAGCATTACTTGCTAGTGTTACAACTGTCTGTTTCAAGCTATTCAATAGCACACTTCCCAGACCCAATCCAAGACATTCTGGATCAACCTGGTGACTAATAGCAGCATGCAACTGAAAGAAAACAAGTTAATTTCACTCACACTTTGAACAATTAAATGGAAATCTATCATAAAAACTCTTAAGAACAGATTAGAACTTTATTATAATGTTGATCTAAATAAAAACAATAATTTATATGTATGTAGCATATAAAAGGACTTTCTTCACAATGATCATTTCCCTACATTACAACACACCAGGAAGCTGAAGCTTTAAGAGCTGAAGGGCCCTGCCCAGGGTCACAAAGCTTAGGAGCATTAGAGGAGGTCCCTGAACTTCAGGTCTTTAACAACTAATCTCATGTTCATGTATTCCATCTGCTTCCAATAAAAATAAATGAAATTTTAACATCACTTTCATACATTAACTGATTCCTTCAATGTCATCTCCTCCATGAAGTGTTTTCTATCTTCTCCCCCATTTGCAGCAGTAAGAAACTCTCCTCTGTCTCAGACCTTACATAGTTCTTGTTTTATGCCTCCTTTATGGTCTTATAATATTTCATTTTTAATTATTTTTGTCATCATACCATTGCACCTGAGATTACAGATTAGGTCTCATCTAATTTTCATCTCTCTCCCAGTACCTAGAAAAGAGGTCTGCACATAGCCGCTTTTGATAGCTGCTTTGATAGGAACTCAATTTCTGCTAAGGTTAAATTAGAATAACCCTGACATAAACGCCCCAAAACACCCAGGATTAAGTCAAATTGTGGGTCAAATCATGTCACTTAGTTATTTCTGACATTCAAGTCTCTAACCTTATCATAAACAGTCTATGAGACAGGAAGTTATGGCCACGTAGAAAAAAACATGGAATCCCTCAAGGAGTTCAAATTTCAATTCTGCCACATTCTAGCCATATTAACTTAGGCAATTACTGAAATGTTCTAACCTCAATTACCCCTTCTGAGAGACCAATATATACACAATTGACTTCAAAGGGTTATTGTGAGGGTAACAATTTGTAAACTTTAAAGAACAATAATTCTTTTTAGAAGAGAAAAAAAAGCATTGTATATGACTCCAAATTAAAAAAATTCAAATCAACAAATATGTGTTAACTGCTACTCCACACAGAACACTGTTTTTGGTACTAGGAGCCACACAAAGTTTTTTTTAGATAAAGACATTCCTGATATATTGAACTTAGGCTGGCTAGTCATGGGATAATAAGTACACAGATACAGATACATAATACAGTAAGTGTACTGGATAGTTGCAAAACTAATTACTACATAAGGTGATTTAAAAGAGGCACAGGGTATGCACAGAAGAGCAAACAGCAAAGAGCACGAAGGTAAGAATGGAAAGGTAGCATAGTACCAGACTAAAGAAAGCCTAAAACGCCAAGCAAAGCAGTCTGACCTTTACTTGATAGGCAAGAAAGATACTATGAAAGGTTTTGAGCATAAAGTTATTACAATAATTCAGGCAGGCAGAAATGAAAGCATATACTAAGTAGCAGTAGTATAGAGACAAGCTAATAATTCAACCAAACTAGAAAGGCCAATGTGGAAAAACTGAGTTTGAAGAAAATAAAATTAAATAACATGGACTTAAAACAAATCTTCCTCTATGTTTTTGTTTACTCTGTAAATGTAAATTTTAATAGGTTTAAATTTACATTATTATAGCATAGAATAAATAGAACAATGTGTGTATTCTTGCATTCCCCTGAGTGTTTTACTAAAGTGACCATATAAATCACTGAACTGATTTCCATAACTTCAAACATCAAAAAAATTTAGATTCCCATACTACAGTTACACCTTATATTTGGGACATTTTGTTAGTAATTCATATAAAATGTTAGAACCTAAAAAATTTCTTCAATTACTTTATAAATATTCTTAAGCATATCTAAGTAGACATTTGAAAAAAAAAAAAGGCATACAAGATACCTGAAGTCTCAGGAGGTTCAATGTCGCCACTGCCATACATTCTTTCTCCTGTGGTGGTGGCCAGTCAGAGGTTCCATCCATTCCTTCACTTACTTGTCGTAATAAGAGATCCAACTGTTCAAATGTCATTGGGCAAACATCCACCACAAAAGGTACACGTAGTCCAATGGACCACTCAGAACAAGAAGACCAAGCAAAACTCTATACATGAAATATAAGTACCTAACATGAATCTCCAAAAGTCAACTCACTGTGCTACAAAAGATATAGCGTGTCATAAATGTTAAGGACAGCCATTATTCATTACATCATCATTATAACTGTTATTTCATAAAATAATTTCCTCTTTAATCTTTTTTCTCTCAAATGAAACTCAATTTTGAAATTCTCTAAAACTCCCTATTTTCTAGATGTATCTGTCTCTAGTTCTTCTGCTTATCTATCTCTCCCTGTTATCATCACTCTGACAGGGTGATGTTCTACCTTGTTTGTGCCACGGACACCTTTGGCAGTCTGATGAATTCTATGGACTCCTCAGAATAATGTTTTGAAATGTGTAAAATAATACAGAATGGGATCACAAAGGAAACCAACTACAGTGAAATACAGATGTCAAAACATTTTTTTAAATGATTTCATGGGGGGGCAGCTAGATGGCGCAGTGGATAATGCTCTGACCTTCAAGTCAGGAGGACTTGAGTTCAAATTCAGCCTCAGACACCTGACACTTACTAGCTATGTGACCCTGGGCAAGTCACTTAACTCTGATTGCCTCCCCCAAAAAATCAAAACAAACAAACAAATAAAGAAGTTCATGGGCTCAAGGTGTAAAAAAAAAAAAAAAAACCCACTCAGATCTCTCTTCTACACTTTCTTCCTTAGTCTCTAGGTGCCACAGTACTTGCTTTAAAAAAAATTCACTCTTCAACTGGAAAATTCCTTGTTAGTGGCAATTAGACCATGGGCAACAAACTAAAATCATGCATTCAAAATAAAGTGGAAAACATAATTTACAACTGATACCCCAAGAGTACTCAATGTGAAAGTAACCTTTAGTGATAACTTACTAGGTGGAGAAAAAGTCATTGCCATATATTTTTTGAATACAAATTCTAAACCTAAAATAACTAATACCTTCTTTGCTTATGATGTACCTATAAATAACAGAATTGACTTCTAATCCTTAAGCACTAAAGATACTCTTAAGATGAAAAGGAAAATGGCATTTATCCATACTGCAACCAAAGCAGAAAGCAAAAAGAAGTCAATTTTGATGTGAAGTCACCTAAACCACTTTAGAACTTCTGAAATAAGATATATTTAATATGGTGTATTACTAAGAGTCCTACATTGAATTAGGGTCAATGCTAATAAATGTTATCAATTATATTCCTTAAAAAAAAAAAAACATAGCTAGTTGAAAGCTATAGTGATAAACTAACAATATTATAATGCTGTTCATCACTAATAATGTTCCTATAAATAAGCAATCTTTTGTTCAGTTGGCTTTATTCATTCTAGATGTTTCACCTAAAGACAAACATGAGTCAATAATAAAATCAGAAATTACTTTCTTAATGCACTCCATTTCTTAGTCCACTGAGTCATTTACTCCCCTGCAATAAAAACATGAACATAACTTCCTAATTCCCAACTCAGAATACTTAGTTTTTAGTTTATAGGGATGGTAAACCTTCAACTCATAAATCTGGATACAAATATTTTCAAATTCAGAAAGATTTATTCTAATCTTTAAAATTAAGCAGCTATAACTCAATCTCTATCCTATAAGCGAATAATGCCTTTTCTTCTACTTTTTATATTTCTTTTTAAACATTTTTTTAAAAAGTTGAAACTTTTATTGGTTACCTGAGCAGGACCACAAGCAATTCCAACTATATGTTTTGTATCTAATCCTGGCAATGCAGTAGGTTCAGGTTTGGTAATCCGAAGTGTGTCAAAGTGCTGACACTGATCATTGCTTCCCCAGCTATGAACTTCACTATCCTCAGTAAGCGCTAAGCAGTGTGTAGAACCAGCAGCCACATCAACTACTTTTTTACCTATGGGACAAAAAGAAATTCTATTAATTATAAAATTCTGATAACAATAAAAATAACTTATAGCACATCATAACTTGTTTTACAGCTAAACTGCTTTATATTCATTTGCTAACGTGATCCTCTCAATAAATTTAAATATATACTATAAAGCATTATTACCCCCCTTTTACAGATATGAAACTTTGGGTCAGAGAAGTTAAGTGAGTTGACCAAGGATGCACAACTGAAATCAATAAATGTTTATTAAGCATCTTCTTTTTACAGAAGTCCATATTAAACACTATTAGGTGCTAATGGACAGCATAGCCAGGACTGAAAGCAGGATCTTGTGACTTTGAGGCCAATACTTCCTCTACTACAGGCTGCAGTCTCTCAAGAAAAGTAAGATATAAGAAATCAGAAGATACTCAAAAGTAAAATAAGTATAACTCAATCTTTTACTTTTAATAAGATTCATTTAGATCTTAAGATTATTGCTAGGTTTTAAATCACTAATATTGCTTACAATCTTTAAGTTTTAAGTGCCAATAATCTCAGCAGTAAATACTAAAGAGAGGGAATTGTTAAGTTATCGCTTCTTACTAAACTTCTCCCTGATATAGATAAGTGAATATCAAATAACTGTCCCCTCTTTTCTATTCGCTCTATCACATCATTTCTCAAAAATAATTTTTGCTTTTCAAGCAAGCTCTTTCAAGGAGATTCTTTTTTTTCTGAAATACATTCCTCAAATCAGCAAAAAAAAATCCAATCCTTCTATGAATCATCAGTAGTTTGAATGTAAATGTGAAGAAATACTATAATTTATAGGTAGTGGAACAAGACCAACACAAAGAGAGTTTCCTAAGAGATCCCAATGCTCCTAACTCAGTTGGAACTAAAAGGTTCCCAAATAAATGCAATAGCAGCTGTGCTCTGAGCACAGATAGCACCACAAACTTCTATGAAATACAAGTAAAAAATTACAAAAGCAAAAGAAATCTGAGGATGCAAAAATTAATTATGGTTGGTTAGTATACCAAAAGAATAAAACGGGAGGAAATGTATTTGTTTACTAAAGGGAAAAATATAAACAAAAGGGTGAATGAGTACCCTGCTGTAAAGTTAAACAAATACACGGTAATAGTAAATTATAGTTCAATTTAACAAACAATTATTAAGTGTCCAGTGAGGACAGATAGGGCACTTAGGCATGGCCCTTACTCTCATGAAGTTTAGTCTATGAGCTTTATGTAACACATGTTAAAAATAACTTCAATACAAAATATTGTATGAGAAGTGCATAGAAAAGTACACACACAGTTATACATAGAAGGTCTGAAGAAAGGACAAAGTTACCCATTTGAGAGATTTGATGAATTATAAATATTACCCTGCAGTAATATATTAACTCTTATTAGAAGCAGTATAAAAATGCTTTTTTTGGGGGGGGGGAGGCCCTAGGCAATGGGGTTAAGTGACTTGCCCAGGGTCACACAGCTAGTAAGCGTTATGTGTCTGAGGCCGGCTTTGAACTCAGGTCCTCCTGATTCCAGGGCCGGTGCTCTATCCACTGTGCCAACTAGTTGCCCCTAAAAATGCTTCTTTTAAAAATAATTGCAGATTGGTTTGTAATAACTTAGGAGAAGGAATTAAAATGCTTCATCTAAATGTATTTATTCTAAATAAATGGAAGTATGTGTACAGATATATAAATTATATGCATATATTTCCATATATACATGTATATTTAATTTTATTTACGGGATAATTTTTACTTATTCTTTAAACACAGGAAGCCTTAAAAGCATACCATGATATAAACCAGTCATTATAAGAATCTAAATTTGCTTGATTGGTATTTCGAGCATATTGTGAATACCTGCAATTAATAATAATGAGTGAAGGCTTTAAATCTATAAATGTAGAGAAATACAAATTTTAGTTAAAAATATTAAAGCCTTCTAAGAAATTATCAAAGAAACCAGCTCCATCATATTTCTAGTAAAAGAAAAGAGGTAAAAACAAACAAACAAGAAACCTTACTTTTTATTTTGCATTACACTGACCTTGTAAGCCTTCTAATAGTTTGGGATATCGAACATGTTCCTCTGTTCCATGTCCAAGTCTCTGATTGTCACCTTTTCCCCATGAGTAAACTTGACCATCTTTCGTTAAAGCAATAGAGAACTGACTCCCACAACGTACTTTAACAATATCTAGGTCTTGAAGTTTTTCAATCAGTTTTGGTGTTTTACAACCATCACTACCACCTCTTCCTAGTTTTCCATAATCGCCATCACCCCAAGACCAGACTTGACCTGGAAAAGAAAATATGATACTCATTTCCAGGTACACTACATTTTCATAATCAATAAGGATAATGACATATCAAAAGTGGAACCATCAAATTTCTAAGAAAATTGAAGCTATTTTAGAACAAAACAAAAAAAAAATCTAGCCTCACAATGCTTTAGATATAAAAATCTGGCAATAAATACTAAATTATAATATATTTTATTATTATTATATTATAATAAATTGATAAATATTAAATCTCTAATTTATAGTTAATAATTCAAATTGACATGGAATTAATAGGGAAAAGAAAAAAATTACAAAATGGAAAGGTTACTAGCAATATAAAGAAAACTCAGAATCTTACCGGCTCTGACCTCAATTAAGAACTTCTTTAACCAAAAAAGAATTCTACCATTAATATGAAAACATAATATATTTTTCTAATGAAGGGGCAGATTTTTCTTTCAGAACACAATTCAAATTCCAAAAAATCCTGATATATTTTGGAATTATAAGCCAAATCTACTGAGGAACTTTAATGTAAAACACAGCACTTTTGGAGAGAAACAGCTAAGCAGCTGTTCACATGGGGAGATAAATCTTGGATGTTTTAGTAACTCAGTGCTAATCAATAAAATGATGTAGCATCCTCAGCACACCCTGCCTCTCCACAAAAAAAAAAAAAAAAAACCAACACACACACACACACAATCACCAGCTGTAAAAATAAAAAAGCACAGAGTTCTAAATCTAGGAGTGGATAGAGTGGACTCTGTCCTGGTTAGACTACATTTGCAATGCTATGTTCCGTTCTAATACATATATATTTATATATATATTTTTAATTGGCTCAACAAGTTGGAGTATATCTGATAAAGGGAAACCATGAAGGTGAAAAGTCTGTAGAGCACATTATATGAGAAATATTTAAAGAAACAGAATGTTTAGCCAAGAAAAGAAAATAAATTCTTGGAGTAGTTTAAGTTTTATGGAGTCTTTTATTTTGGGGTACAGGTAGTGGGAGAGAGAGGAGATGAAGGGGACGTGGAAAACAGACATTATTGTCATCAATTATTTGAGGAATGCCACACAGAAAAGAGAAGGCAGACATTTTCGCTGGTACCAGAGAATACCTGATTCCAAATTCAACAGAATTTAAAGGTCACAGTTAGTCAACAAAAACTTCACAGTAAATGGTATACAATTCTAAATTTTATGTGGAAATTTTATTAAGTTTTCTTTGATCCTAAACAATAATCTTGGGAGTCCTAAAAATCAGATGTTAAACCATCATTAAATACTGATTTTCTACTCCACTCAAACTGGAAATGGCACTAGAGTCTTATTCTTTCTAAAAATTAACACATTGGAAAATATATGCACATAACACTTCTGTAATTCTTAACATAAGTAAAAAGAAAATGAAATCTTACCAAGTATTTTTAAATACAAAACTTTCAAATATTTATGCTATTAGAATAGTCAAACTAAGACAATCATTAAGTAGAAATTATTCCATTTCATGGCATTGTATCTAATCTAACATTCATCAACAGGACACAGAATACAATACTTAAAAGCAGAAGACTGGGGCAAAAGGATGTGGTTAAAAAAAAAAAAGGCTGGATTTGAAGTCAAGAGAATCTAGGTTCAAATCTCAGCTCTGCCATTAGTCAATGTGACCTTTGACAAGTCACTACCTCTGGGCCTTAGTTTTCTCAACTACAAAATAAGGAGACTGGACCCAGCTGACCTCTATGATCCTCTCCAGTACCCTACATCCGTGTGTCCATGATTCTAGTTAGCCATTAACACTTCCCATCCCTGGACAAGTCATTGAGGTCCTTCATTTATATGAAAAAACTAAAACTGCACTTGACTTGAGACAGGAAGGGGAACCAAATGACCTCCTGAGATCAATTCAAAATCCAAGATCAATGATTTTAAGGTCTTAAACAAAGCTTACTCTATTCAAACTAAAATTCAAAGTCCAAAGTTCTTTTTTTTTTCTGCTTTGGCAATCAGGGTTAAGTGACTTGCCTAGGGTCACAGAGCTAGTAAGTGTCAAGTGACTGAGGCCACATTTGAACTCAGGTCCTTCTGACTCCAGGGCCGGTGCTCTATCCACTGCGCCACCTAGCTACTATATCCAAAGTCCTTTTAAAAGAATGCCTAGGTTAAGAAGCTCTCATTGGGGAAAAATTCATTTTTCACTTACCATTCTCAGTCACTGCAAGAGTTTGAGCATCCCCACTCCCACAAGAGACATCAATAACCTTCAGTCCTTTAAGTCCAGTTACAAGCATTGGAATTGTCTGGTCTTCACTTGAGCCTTCAAAAAGAAAGTTCTGTCACATCAATCAATCAGCAAGTATTTATAAAATGCCTCTTATGTGCTCCACATTTCAGATACAAATATAAAAGTGAAAAGTCCCTTCCCTAAGGGAAATCACATTTATACACTTATTGAGGTCAAACAAATTTTACCAAAAAAGTTATCCTTTAACAATTTCACATTAAAAACAAGAACATACCATGTCCCAGCCTGCCATAATTTCCTCGACCCCAAGTATATAGCTCTCCTTCAGCTGTAATGGCTGCACTATATGTACTTCCACATGCAATATGAACTACATGTTTCCCAGCTTGCTTTCCTGAGAGAGCAGATATCATCTTAGGTTCTTCTAGAGGCCTAGTGAGACACAGAAAAAACAAGAGAACTTTTAAAAATTTAAATATTATTTAATGGTATATGGGAAAAGACAATGTCACTTGTTGAGAAAAATGATTATCTATAACAATTGCAAGTAATATTAGTAATCACAGACAACTGCTTTAAAAACTGTTTTATGAAAATATATCATGTAAAATTATACATAACATAATTTTTAATCTGTTTCACATAATCCAAAGGATTATACAAATATGAACATAATTTTAATTTTACATATGCAAATTATAGAATAGCAATTATTTCAGAATGGGAAGGACTCTTCAATAAATTTTCAAGCATTAAGTGTATAGTTTAAAAATAATATCTCTGTTTGTAATTAATATGTTTCCCAGAAAAACTGTTAATGGAATCTGGAATACAGACTCAAAAACATCCTTTAAAGAACTCGAGGGGCAGCTAGGTGGCGCAGTGGATAGAGCACCGCCCCTGAAGTCAGGAGGATCTGAGTTCAAACCCGGCCTCAGATCAAACACTTGACACATACTAGCTGTGTGACCTTGGGCAAGTCACTTAACCCCAAATGCCTCGCCAAAAAAAACCAAACAAACAAACAAAGAACTCGACTATGTTTTAAATAAACTTTCTTGGAAACTTCTAACATATAAACGTTGAATGCAGTTAATCTACTGTCATCTACCCCCAAAGACTTCCCCCAATAACCCATTCTGACCTGAACCTTTTCTGATTTCCTAAAGCATTTTGTATGTGTCATTCATTTGAACATTAACACTTTGCACTATCACTATCACTTTGCATGTCTTTTTACCCCCACCTACATGAGAAGTTCCTAGAAGGCATGGATCATGTCATATTTCTTGGTATTAAAATATTTATTAACTACAAAGTACAAAGCACTATGAAAACTTTATAGAATGAGGATATTCCCAAGTAAGAATATCCTCCTCAGTGCTAATAAAGCATTATACTCACAGCAAACCCTCAAAAAAATACTTGAACAAACACCAAATACTACTCATGAGTCATTTAGTCACATTCACAAATAAACTATTTCATAATTAAGATTAAGTACGAAAGATGTTTATTTTTCTACTGCAGTCTTTTAACTAGCCTAATCTGAAAAAAGCTATTATAAAAACTGTTCACTGCCTCATAAGAAAACAGTAATAATACATACACTGTATCACCATGGCCTAACCGTCCACCATCTCCACATCCCCAAGAAAAGACCTCTCCAGTGGCTGCCAAAGCCAGGTAATGGTGACCATCTGAATGTGCCGCAATTTTCACAATATTTCTAGAGGCAAGACCTTGAACTAGTTGTGGTCCCTAAACAGGATAAAAAAAAAGAGTCATAAGAAAAGAAATCAGTAAAATAACTTAACATACAAACAAATCCCCAAATTACTAGGAGCCCTGAATGTCTGAAGTAAGGCTCTTTAATTTCTCAGTTCTCATGCTGCCCAATTTTTAGACAGTCACTTAGGGTTTTCAACCTGTTTTACTGTGAACATCAGATTTTAACTTCTAAAATACAAAAACTTTTATAGCCGTTTGAGGGAAACATATTAAACAATTTTTAATGAGTTCTATAAAGTATACTATATGTATGAAAAAATCTAGAGAACCATTTCATTTCAAGAATATCAATAATGTACGTTTAGGCTCCTGTCATTCTGGACTATTATAAGTCATCTATACATTTTTGCAAAATACTATTTATGCCTTATCAATGCATTTGCAGAGGAAGTTAAGTATAACAGGGAGAAACTAATTCCACAGTAAACAAACAAAATGTAGTAAAACAAAAAAGGTAAAAATGAGAACTATACTGCCAACTCAATGATATGGCATAAAATCTAAAAGAAGGGACTCGTGACATAAAATAAATCAAAACTACTGAAGTTCATAAAATGAAGAAACCTAAGAGAAGTTTCACCTTTATATCACGACAAGTACAAATCTATATTAAGTAAAGAAGAAAGGTTCAGAACAGGAAGGAAGAAAAAAAAAACACCTACCAGTGTGTCACTGTTGTAAGCCTGCATGTAAACTCGCCCATTCCGAGATAAAATTAGGAAACGCTTTTCTGCACAGGCAATCTGTGTGACCCCAAGATTTGCAAGTCCCTCACATTGAATTGGGCCGATCACATTAGCATAGTATTTCCATCCTATTAAGCCCCAACCTATGACTTCTTGTAAAGATCCCTGTAAGACAATCCAATTCAATTCAATAAACATTTATTAAGCACCTACAATGTGCTACATATAAATTTTTTTGCTGTATTTCTGAAGCAATATATTTTCAGATATTTATTTTAATGAATTAGGATAGCATAGCAATGTTATAATCAAATTATCTTTTGGGAAAACCGTAATAAGCATTACTTAGAAACTGATATATGCAGAAGAAAAGAAAGTTACTTACAATATAAGCATCATGATACTGCTAACACTAAAAATATAAATTGTAGCTGATATACACCTTTGAGTGACCATTATGCATTAAAACTTAGATCTTTCTTCTTTTTTAATACAGGCTGTCCAATAGCAAATTCCTCAATATTTTCTCAACTATTAGTTTCAAAATTGGATCACTATTCTAAAGGCTTTTTTAAGTGCTTTACATTCATATAATGTATATAAAGCATTGTGCAATTAAATTTTGAGCTAGAAGACTTAAAAGCCTCTACTCTGCTCTAACAGGAACTGAGCTCTCATTTTCCTTCACCCCTTTATGTTACTCAACAAACATTTTAAAGGGGCCTACAATGTGTTGGGCTGGAAAAGGTACAAACTTTAGGTGAGGCAAGGTTCTCTGCCTTACAAAGCTTACAGTATATTAAGGAAAGAAATAAGAAAAAGAGAGCCAATGAAAAATAAACCATGTTTCTTCCACTCAGGAGGCCCATGTGAATATGCTGTTCAAACCACTCCCTTTCCCTCCAGAAGTGGTAATACTAGTATTGTTTCTAGTGATGTGCATGTTCTATTATGCAGAAAGTAAGGCCTTTAGAGGCCAAGGACTATTTTGTTTGTGTCTCTGGATCTTTAGGACATAGCACAGAGTGTCTTGTGCCCTGAAGGCACTTATTAACTGTTCACTGAAGAGGATTATTAAAGGGCATCTCCCTCAGCAGACAAGCAGGAACAATGACTGCTACCCCTGGAGCTTCAGAACGTGAAGGACAGTATGTATGATCAAGAAAAATCAGCAAAAGGTCCCTTCACGTCAGAGTACTACGTAACCGGGAAGGCCAAACAAATGAAAAACTATACATTTAATCACCAGAGGCATTCAGCTCTGAGAAAGGAAAGATGTTATTACTTAGCAAGACCAACCTTTCACCTAGAAAAGAATTTAAGGAAAACTGCGTTTGACATTAGGTACTGACAATCATAAGGCAAAACTGAACAATCTAAAGATAGAGAAAATATTAGCCTCCTAATCATGACCACCCAAATAATGACAATGAGAAAAATGGCAGGACAATTTGTCAACCAAGACACTTCTCAATATGAACTTGTTTCCACTGCCAGTGCAAAATGAAAAGTTGCAGAGCTGATCGCCACCATCAACCTCAATCAGATCATTTCTGGCAAAGAGTTAGCATCAAGTGAAAGCAGGAGGCAGGAGCAGAATCTTTCCAAGATTGTATCTGGGACAAGTGGCAAAGAGATGCAAATTAATGCTTCAAGATTTAAGTAATTAAAGCTAGAAACTGAGGTGCCCTGTAGAAACAGACATTAAATAATTTGAATCATTTGGGCTAGATTTTGACTCAAACCAATGTGGCTTCAAAACAAAATTTTAAATAATACTTATACTTAAACTCAAAGTTATAAGTTGATTTTACTTGGCCAACCAAATGTTACATGCAACTGCTTTGTGATCAAGTTGCTCTCAGAACACCAAAACAGCTCACAAATAATGGAAGTTAGGGACTTAGATTGCAGAAAGCATAACAGATACATGGCCATTTAATAAATACAAAAAAACTGATTAAGCTAGTCTAATATCATATCTCAAAAGCAACACTAAGGATATATTTGGTAGTTAATAAATGCTTTATCTACAGTTTTTATTTGTGTACATTTGTATGTATACATATATTTTGTTTGTGTATATATACTGTTTGCCCATTCCAGCACAGGCCCTCCCATTTCATCAGCTGAAATTTGTCATTTTCCTCATCCTGACAATGGGGATAACACCTATGGTACCTATCACAAAGGAATATCAAGAGATTCAAATTAGATAATAAGTGTAAAGCATTCTGCAAACCATAAAGCATTCTAATGATGTCAGCTATTATTATTCTCAAGCCAAAGAATAGAGAAAAGGGAAAGTTCAAAGGTTCTCCCCTCAGGAAGAGGTGAGAAGCAGCAGGCTGTTCAGGAAGAGCTGCTAATTACTAGAGCTCAGGGGCCACAGGAAGAATGCAGTGTCTAAAAAAGGAGTAGGCATACAAAGAAGGAGGCATGAGCAACGAAAGGGATGTTAACTAAATCCAACACCACAGTCCAATACCAGAAGGTCAAAGAAGGTTGGAGTTCAGCAGAGAGTTCAAGGCAATTGGCAGCACTGGGCTTCTTGAAGGTGAGTGTGTATTTTTATGCCTAGATACAAGGAATAAAACACTGCCTTCCATATTCTTCAAAATTAAATTTAGCTGGACATCATCCTGCCACAGGGAGTAATACTCAATAGCCTATTCTAAGAAGTGGCAGGCAGTTTAAGGACTTTCAAGCCCTTATGTAAAAAACAAATGATCTCTATTCTCTTCTGATTAAATAGTCTAGTCTTTATGGTTTATGGTTGAATTTGGAGTTTTCCCAAGTTTTTCCAGGTTCAATCAGATGGTTATTCTTGAGAAATGGGCAGCAAATGTTGGTTGTCAACAGTATAAGCTATTGACAAAAGCCACAGGAAAAATGGCATAAAATAGGGAAGAGAATACAGCACTGGCAGTCATTCCTTTAAAGGACTTAAGTAGATTAGGGACAAGTAGAGTCTAGGATAAGATGAACAAGGAATATTCTATTACCCAGAAAGGTAAATTAGAAGGCTGAATAGGAGTCTACAAGGGCACTGACAGTAAACCAGGGTGATTTTTTTTTTATCGTTTTCTCACTTTGAGATGTAGGGAACCAGGAATCTGTAAAAAGGATCTATTCATGGTAATCTAACCTAACACTTCTCAAACTGTGGGACCCCACACGGGTCGTGACCCACAGTTTAAGAAGCTCTGAAGGGGTCACAAGTGGAAAAAGTTTAAAAAGCCGTAATCTAACCTACAATGAATAGTGAAACCGGGGAAGGAGTCTTTAACTCAAAAAATGGACATTAAGTCCCAGCTCCGACAATAACTAGCTGTATAAACTCAGCCAAGGTGTTTTAACTCCTCTATACCTAAGTTTTCTCATCCATAAAATGGTGATAACATCACAAGGTTATAAGGAATGCATTTCACAACTACAATGTGCCATGTAGATTGTCATAATTTTTAATAATATGTGAAACAACCCTTTAAAAACAGTCTGCCTAAGCATCATTTATCTTAAGATGCTAAATCTGTAAAAAGTAACAGAGTTCACATTAGAATACCAAAAATAGTTAATACTTCCAAGTATACAGTTGATAAATTTGCTATACTAATTAAAAATAGTTTAGAAAGTAACTGCTTTCATAACAGGAACACCAAAAGATAACTTAAAGAGTTATTAACTTCAATTACAGAGAAAGCATGTGAAACTCCTGATACAATAGTAGGTAGAGAATTTCATTTCAGTAAATACCTTATGAGATGTAGGAGAGCTACACTGAGGAGGCATGCAGGGAGTAGCCAGACGATCTAAATGTGCCATAATCACTACTGCAGTTTGACGCAAATCAATAGCTAATTCATTGTCTTGTGGTAAAGTAAGGTACCTCAGAAAACTTTCATTGGGACTCAGAGGACCAGACAGCATCTAAAGGAACAGGGGAAAAAACTACAGTAATCAGTCATTTCAAAAACAGTGTGAAGAATATAAACATACTAATAAATATCTAATATATTTTCCAATTATTTATATTTTGGTATGGATGTAGTAGCCAAACATAGTCATGAGTGTTAAATTGAGACAGTGTTAATAATTTATTTATAATAACATATTTATATATTTATAATAACAACATATATATTTATAATAACAACAGAACTGTTACGTTAGATTATCATGAATAGATCCTTTTTACAGATTCCTGGTTCCCTACATCTCAAAGTGAGAAAACAATCAAAAAAATCACCCTGGTTTACTGTCAGTGCCCTTGTAGACTCCTATTCAGCCTTCAGTCATCCCAAAGAGCAACACTAATCAAATGCCTGAATTAACTCTGCACAGATCATAAAGACCATTAAGATACCAAATGCTCAAATTGACCATTATATAATCTGAGGATTTTTCACATAAAGATCTAGCATATGAGTGCAGGCATCAAACTATTTGTATTTTTCATCTCAATTTTAAAAAATTACCATGTATTTCCTATTTTCATACTTGCAATTTTTCTATAAACAAGTGAAGAACCCTATTAGCTTACAGATTATCAAATGTTAATACATAACAGGCTAGAAACTAACTGCAACATCATAATATTATTATGTTTCAAGTAAAAAACTCACAAAATAAAAGTAAAAACATTCCAAAGGTTTTAACATGAATCTATAAATCCTATGCTTTCTAATTTTAATCTAATGCCAGGGCACAAATCTAGAAGTTAAGAAATTGGGACCTCTCTAAAAAGAATATTAAGGAGAAAAAAGAATAATGCTGAATCTTCTAAGCTTAAACACTTTCAAAATAAGCTGAACGGGGCGGGGGGAAACAAGCATTTCAGATAAGACGACTAATAAAATTTTTGGCTTTCTTGGGGGACAGAGAGGGTTTTTTTTTTCAAAGTTGAGAAATCAGAGGACACTAATCCATCCAAAAGCAATGTCATTTTTCTTTCATCTCAGAGCTTTTATAACCTAAACTGCTTATTTTATGATTAATTTCATACAGCTTATGAATATCTCAGATGGTTGTTATATTACTTTTATAAATAGTTCATTTAACTTATCACTAATTTTACAAACTAATTGGGGAAAAAATAAAAATTTACCAATCAATCAACTATTATTTATTAAACATATACTATGCACCAGGCACTGTGCTAAACAACAGGAATATAATTTTATAATTACATTGGATGAAATTATATTAAATGCAATAAGGCTGCTCTCAAAACAACTTTCTATTCTAAAAAGAAACAAGAATACATATAAGTACATTCAAAATAACTATGAAAAGAATAAATAAAAAGTAACTAAATACAAATCAGCTTGGGAGGGAGGTATTAACAGTTGAGTCAATTAGAAAGGGCTAAATCTAGAGGGTAGTATTTAAGTTGAGTCTTGAAGGAAGAGTGACTCTACGAGTTGGAAAGAGGGAATGTAGGAAGATGGTACAAAGATACAAAGAACTTAAAAGGAGTGTTGTTTGTGAGGAACACAGGAAAGGCTGGTTTTGCTATACTGCAAAGGGTGAGAAAGTTAATAATCTACAAGGGGCCTGGAAAGACAGAATGGGGCTAGACAGGGGAAAGCTATGAAAGCTAAAGATAAGAATTTATATTTGATACTAGAGGCAACAGGGAATCGACGGGTTTTACAAAGTAGGGAAGTCACATGGTTGGATCTACGCTTAACAAAAAATATTTTGGCAAAAGTGCAAAGGATAAACTGGAATAGAAAGAATTCAGGCAGGGAAACCAATCCACAGATTATTTCAATAATTTAGATTAGACATTATCAGGGCCTGAATTAATGTGGTGGCTATGTGAATAGAGGGAAGGGATTGGATGGTGATTAAATAAATAATTAAATAGAAAAAAGAGGAATGAGGAATTTAGATTATGAATCTTAAGAGATTAGAAAGGATGGTATCTTGAACATAAATAGGAAAGTTTGAAAAATGGATGGGTTTGGGGAAAAGATAAAGAGTTTGGTTTTGGACAGGCTGAGTCAAAGACATCTCCAAGACAACCAGTTTAAAATATTCAATAGGCAAGAGTGATGTGTGATTGAGGCTCAAGGGAGAGAGACTGAGTCTGGATAAACAGATCTGTGAATCATCTGCATAGAGATGATAATTAAACCCATAGGAACAGGATGATCAAGAGAGCATGTTAGAATGAAGAGAAGAAATACACATCATGACTAATGTGGAAAATATGCTTAATATGCATGTATAAGTAGAGCCTATATCAGACTACAAGCCGTCTTGGGGAAGAGGGAGGAGAATGAGGGGAAGAAAACTTAAAACTCAAAATCTTATGGAAGTGAATGTTAAAAACCAAAAATAAATAAATTATTAAAAAAAGAAAATAAAGAAGAGAAGAAGACCATTACAGAGTCTTGGAGAATATTCACAGTAAAGGCAAGATGATGTGATGTGGCTGATAAGCCAGCAAAAGTAACTAAAAAGGAATGGTTAGACAAATAAGAGGAGAGGCAAGAGAGCAGTTTCATGAAAATGCAAAGCACAGAAAGTGGTCCAAAGTCTGACGCAGGACACAGATCAAGAAAGATAAGGAATGCTAAAAGATCGTAAGTTAGCTATATTGCTACAGGAAAATCCTTTTTGGCAGACTGTAATAAACATTTTCCTATCTCCCACAACATCTAACATTAAGTGCCTTGTTCACATCAGATACTCAATATGTTATTAATTGAATGTGAACACACATTCAAGAAATCCATACTTAACAGGAAAATAACTTAATCTCACGAGCAATTAATGGAAAGGTTCCTACAATTATTGCAAAAATGATAAAAATCAGCAAGATTATTTCTTATTATTCAGACCACTGACCACTTAAAGACTGAAACCTCAAGCCCACCATCACCCCTGACTACCACTCAGAAAAGAGGACACAGCCCTGCCTCTGGCCAAAGTACTGCCTGAGGATGGACACCACAAGACAGAGTCGAGACATAGAGAATCCTATCACCTGCTGAGACTACTAGATCTGAGAAGTGTCAAACTAAACCCTTATGTCTAACCAACACATACTACCTCTTTCTCTCTAATCTCTGTGACAATGAACCAGTTGCTGCCATGGAATAAATGAGTAAGTTCAATGCTACTATCCTCTAACTCTGGATTCTCTTGGTCCCTATCCTCTCACCACTCACACTTTACCAAATCCCAACCTTAGATGACTCCCACAGTCTACCACCTCCACTTCTATTCACGTACTGCTGAATGGAGCTAGAAAAAGCCATGCCATTATGCCAGCTAGGTTCATTACACATTTATGTTATCTAATTTCAAATGGGTCCTCATACCAGCAAAGTAATCCTTTTTTTTTTCCTGGTGAGGCAATCGGGGATAAGTGACTTGCCCAGGGTCACAAAGCTAGTAAGCGTCAAGTGTCTAAGGTTGGATTTGAACTCAGGTCCTCTTGACTCCAAGGCCAGAGCTCTATCCACTGCGCCACCTAGCTGCTCCAAACTACGTTTTCTTTTCTTTTTCTTTCTTTTTTTTTCTTTTCTTTTTTTTTTTTTTTTGCTTTGGCAATCAGGGTTAAGTGACTTGCCCAGGGTCACACAGCTAGTAAGTGTCAAGTGTCTGAGACTGGATTTGAACTAGGGTCCTCCTGACTCCAAGCCCAGAGCTCTATCCACTGCGCCGCCACCTAGCTGTCCCCAAAGCAATCCTTTTACAACTTTTCTCTAACTGATTCTCTATTCCATTCACCACATCAGATGACCTAAACTTTTTCTTCTCTCCTCAAGCCTCCTAGAGTACGCATCTTCCTTCTCTCTCATCTGAAGACCTTTAAAAAGCTTCTGTTTTACAAAGCGAGTCAAGGACACTTGCTGTAAGCTCTTTCTCCTTCTCGTGTCATACCCTTTGACATCACCCCCCACACTCTCCTCCTTTACCCATCTCTGAAGAACAGTCGGCCCTTTTCTTTGCCAAAGTCTGCCCCTCTCCATGTGCCTTGATCCCATCTCTTTCCTCTCTTCTGCTGAGGATCACCTGCACTTTTATCTATCCCTTCTCTCTCTAATACTTGGTGTCTTTTTATCTATTGGCTCCTTCTCTGCTGCCTACAAATATGCCCAAGTCTCCACACAACCCCATCTTTAAAAATCCCTCATTAAATCATGGCATCCCTGCTAGGTATCAATGGATATCTCTCTTCCCCTTCACAGCTAAGTTCCTCGAAAAAGATGTCCACAGTAGGTGCCTCTCCATCCTTTCTTCTCCCTCTGTTCTAAACCCTCTAGAATATGGCTCCTGACCTACATTCTCAAATGAAGCTGCTCTAATTACCAATAATTCTATAACTGTCAAAGCTGATATCAGTAATCATCATCCTTCCCAGCCTCTCTGAAGGCTTTAATCCCATTTATCCTCTTCAAATGGATACCCTCCCCTCCACGGGTTCTCATGATACGCCTCATATGGTTCTCCCCCTACCTGTCTGATACCTGCTTCTTAATACCTTTTGTTGGTTCTTCATCCACGTCATACCCCCTAACTTCAGGTATTCCCTAAGCTCTGTCCTGGGCACTCCTCTAATCTCTCTCTAGACTCTGACTGCATCAGTTTCTACATGGGGGGTTTCTTGTTCTGTGGAGCTGAAACCAACCAGAGCAGCAGATGCAGTGGAATGAGCCCAAAAGTTCAGTTTCTGTCCTCTATAGAGGAGACCATTAAGAGAAATTTGGTACTCTACCCTCTAGCCCTTCAATCAGAGGGTAGAAGAGGCTGGGGGAGATGATGTCAGTCAAGGCTTTTACAGCCCTACAGAATTTGCCTACAACTTAACCTTTCCAATCTTAATACAAACTAATCCTGTTCCCATACTCTATGGTCCAGCCAAACTAGCCTCCTTTGTTCCTGTCAAACAACACTCCATCCCTTCTCTCCACAACTTTTCACTGTCAGTATCTCCACATGGAATGGGCTTCCACCTCATTTTCACCTCTTGTACACTTTTATTCCCTTCAAATCTCTGTTCAAACCCACCTTCTACATGAAGTCCTTTCTGATCTCCCTAGCTTCTCAGAAGAAGTTTTTTTAATCTCCCTAGCTTGCTCAAAAGAAATTTTCACCTTTTATTTTTTATAGACTTTGTATTAGGCTATATACAAATTATTTCCCAATAGAACGTAAACTCCTTGAGAGCAGGAACTATTTCATTTTTGTCTCTGTATTTCAGTGCTTAAAAGTGCCTTGTATACAGTAAGCATATAATAAATGCTTATTGATGGATTAAGTTTTCTTAAATGTTCACAGTCAGCAAACCCTAGATAATTAACAAGTATTCTGGATGGTATTTTTAAAATCATTAATTCTGCTTAAAAAGTTTATTAATTAGATGACAAAAAAAATTTACAAAACCAAGTATCAGAGACCTATTCAGCTTTCTCTACATCAACAAATACTTTCTCAACTGAGTGAAGTGAGTTTCAAATTATACAAGATGAAATAAACCTTTTGCAACCAGACTTCTTTCCCCAACCTTCTGTTGCAATCACCAGATAATACATGGAACATTTACAATGCTGACTCCAAAGTTCTTTCACCTTTTTCATTCATAAATCAAAAATGACAAGAAATGCACTTATTTAACTTACAGGCTTATAAATTTAGCAGGAATTCATAAACATCTTTAATTATTTTAAATCACACAAACTATCATTCCCGCACAAAGTTTATAATGGACATACTTACCTGAATCTCATCTTCAGTATTAGGCATATCTTTATTACAGATTATACTCTGAAATCTTTGTAATAAAGGGAGAAGCGGTGCACTAGTTCCTTGGGCAGATCGTTCATTATCCGTTTCCCTCGTCCCACTGTCCCACAACTGAAGTAATAACATAATGGCAGATAACATTTGGCTAAAAGAAAAAACAAGTAGTCACCAATCTAAGTATCAAACAGTTATCTGAATCCTTTGAATGTTCTATGAAGCAAATAGGTAAACGTTTATAGTTTAATAGTTAAATTTTCATATATAAATACAAAATACTTAAAATTTATGAAGGTTCTACATGTCAAGACCAAAAAGACTACCACTTGAAAAAAAATTTTAATGAAAATGAGAAATGAGCAAAATGTAACTTCACAAAGCACTACCAGACTTTGTCTGTTTATCAAAAAAGAGAAAAAGAAAGGTTCAAGTATAAAAATGTTAAAATGCACTCATTCTTCAAGGAATTTCTGTTCCTTCAACTTACTGGAACATTTAAATCATAATAAGGAAATAAAAAGGAAACAGAGAAGCTCCTTACATGTCAAAAAATGGAGACCACAAGTGGACTATGTAAACATATTTAGTTTTGTTTTAAAAAAGGCTATTTGCAAAGGCCCTTTAATTGCTAAATATGGTGCAACTGCTAATACAAAAGAAAGGGAAAGAAAAGCATTCCAGGATTATTCATTAAATATTCATCTTCTAATAAACACAAGGTTCATTTAAAATCTTTTAAGAGAGAGATCTTAAAGAGAGATTACTGCATTCCTCACCTTAGAGTGCCTCTCTGCACAGCCAGCTCTAACAATATGGCAAGTGCTAAGTGCTGGTCTTGTAATGGAATGTTTCCTGGCCCTTTGGTACTTGGAGTTCCATGAACATCACTATTTCAAAAGCAAAAGAAATTGATTCAGAGAAACTTTACAGAAATAGAAAATATGATATGCACACTTACTATGAAATGAGCTCCAAATCCTATCACTAAACAGAACCCCTTTCAAAAAAATAAATTTACAATGGAATAATAAGATTTCTGAAGTTTCCAATAGTGACTTTCCAAAACAATGGACTAGCTATCAATATTTTCAGAGATATTTAGAGTTTGGAGTTCAGAGAACTCATATTTCACATGTTTTACAAATAAAGGTCAAAGAAGTATTTATATCTATATCACTTAAAGAATAATGTTCTAAAGCTAAGCTTTATTTAAATTAACTCAACTTTTAAAAGGTATGCTCAAAGTTTCTGAAGTATAAACTCTCTCATAATTCTGTTTTAAATCAAATGCAGTATCTTTAACAGGTTACCATACATAATATGAATAGAAATATTTAGATTTAGTTTCACTTTTAATGAAATATAAAGTTTCTATGATTTCCCTACATTACTGAACAACAATAAACTTCTTGCTCTTGTCTAGGAATCAAAAGGCAAAATTCCTAAGGTTAGTCTCATTTCTAAGTTGAGAATAATTTATTAGACCTTACTTTTAACATAATTTATACATAATTATTTTAAAGTTACTATTAAGTATCCTAATATCTAATCACTATTACAAATTATTTTTTAAATTAAGCTTGAAGCCAGTTATTTAATTTTACAAAGCATACTTTATTTTATACTTTATCACAAATACCACTTGGAACATTAAGTAAACACAACATCATATATGCGTATATAAAACCTTGAGGTGTTAAAAAATACCTTAAAATACTCTGGACTTAAGTTCAGACTGAATACATTTTCCTAATAAAACAGCATCTTAAAAATTCAAAATAAAAGCAATTACACATTATATCAGCTTTACAGATTTTCATCTTAAGTAAATGTATGTCAGACAAATTCATAATCATTCACACAGAGTCAATGACTCTGAATTTATACTGGTGATAGGTACAAAACAAGCATTTGAATACTTAAACTGCTTACCAATATCTGATAAAAAAAAAAAAAGACCTACAGGGGATGTTTTTGGGCTACTACCATATAGATAAAGTTACAAGTTTTTCAATTCAATTCAACAAATATTTATTAAGTGCCTATTACATACAACATACTACGCCAAGTAAATGTAAATAGAATCTTTGAAAGAAAAGGCTTTATTTGGATTCACTGAGATAATAAGAGTTCAATATACAAGAACACTAACCTAAGTTAAGAATTAGATAATAATTAAGGACTAGACTGTGAAATATGTGACATAACTCAATCCAATAAATCGGAAAAATAAAACTTACCCAGTCACAACAGACCTTAGGAATTTAGTTGCTCTCTCTACAACTTCCAACCAAACAGATGACACCGTGCTTTCATCAAAAAGAGATGCTTCTGGTAGGGCCCTCAAGGCATCAAGAGACTCCTGTAACAATTCACTGCATAGGTCGGCATCCTCTCCTAAAAGAACCAATTTAATTCAACCAACATTATTAAGTACTTCCTCATAGAGCATGGGGTACTCTGGTATATACTACAAGAGACAGAGAGTTTTAAATAAAAAACAAACATGGTCCCTGCTCTCATGGAACATAATCTTGTGAGGATATGTGATACATAAATAGAAAACTATAGGTTTTGACTAAGAGGAAGGCTCAGGGGTAGAAAAGCACAAAGTACTTTCTGGAGAGTTTGACTAAAGCACAGCTGATATACAGTAAGGTGGGGCTAGATTATGATAGGTCACATGAGGGAGATTAGCATTTTTATTACATTATAGAAAAGCTATTTTTCTCAAAAGTATTTCTGGATATAATAAATCTCATCTGACAATTATTAACTTCATAACCTTATATCAAGTAAATTATACCAAATAAATCAGTTTTTACTCCACTGGCCTGATGAGCTGCTATTTAGAATATGGTATCTACTTTGGAGTCATAAAATGTTAAAGCCAAAAAAAATAGAGATCAACTATACTACTTCAAAATACAAGAGAGAAAACTGAGGTCCAGAAGAGTTAAATGATTTGCCTATAATCATACAGACACTTACTAGGACCCAGGTCTCCTGACTCATGATAAAGTACTCTCTGCATGATAGTATGGGAGAGGAAAAAAACCTCTTTGGAAACTGAAAAATGTAGTTCAACTTTACCTGACCGCCAAGCTCTTCGTAAGAATGCAAAGGCAAATGAAAGGGCTGCTCTGGATCCAACTCTTGCAAGTCCTTCTACACCTTTTCCTATAGGTCTAGAACTATAACCAAACAAAAGAAAAAAAAATAATCCTTTCTGCTGTTTTAAAAGTCACAATTCACATGAAATTAATTTTTTACCTTCAGTAATCACTTCAAAATGAGTTTAGCAATCGTAGTTAGAAGAAAAACATAAGAAGCATAGTCCCCTGTGTCACCCTCCACTAACTCATCACAGGTGGCATCAGGAAACATTGTACTTTCTCCCAAGGGAATTCAATGTACTCTAAAATCCATAGGTTTATGAAAGGAACTAAACCCCCCTGCAGTAGTGAAATTCAGATTCTTTTCATTTCTATTGGGCCATTAACTCATTACAAGCAATTTCTGTGTCATTAATTTTGTAAGCTTGGTAACACAGTGGACAAAGAGCCAACCTCAGAATGGAGAAGACCTAGATTCAAGAAACACCTTTGACATATACAGACTAAGATTCTGGGAAATAACTCCCTAGTCCAATTGCCTAGCCCTAGGCAATTCTTTGAGACTCTGAGTTAGAGAGGAGATGATGATCAGCATTGGTAGAGAAAGTTTCCTCAACACAAAGTTCCTCATACCACTGAAATGTCAGATCCTGTTAATAGCCTTATCCAGCACATAAAGCAAAATGCTTTGGACACAGAAGGTGCCTAAGAAGTATTTTGAATCAAACTGAAGGGCCTTTCCTTGGATGTAACTCATGACCTTCTCACAGATGCATTTGCATTCTTTCCTGCCCTTGACACAATTATTTCCTCATCTGGAAATTACTTCCTCCTCTATCTGGTTGGAGGCTGGAAAGGACAATTTTCAGCTTTGAAAACTGAGTGATTATACATGGTTATTCAAAAGCAAACGTGAATACTGAAAGCTATCTAGCACTGCATTCTCTCCCACCTAAAGAGCCCCAATTTAGGAAGCTACAGAAAATGAGCAGTTCAAAACTCTCCTGGTTCTATATGTATATATACATATACATACATATATACATACATATATGTCTGTGTATATACATATATACATATACTATATGTGTGTATGTATATGTATATATACACACGCATGCTATATATGTGCCTATATATACACACACATACATACTATATATGTGTGTGTATGTATATATATGTATGTATACACACACACATATTTCCTTATGTTCAAATAGAAAACTGAAATAATCCCTACTGTCAAGGACCTTACATTCCACTGGGGAAATAAAACATGCATAGAAATAAACATGGAAAAAATATATATATACACACATAGAAATAACATATACATATACACATGTACGTGTACGTGTATGTGGCAATAAAGTAATTTCAAGAGGAAGAGAATGCTAGTACCTGGGGTAGTAGGCTGGGGGGCCGAAGGAGGGGGGCTAATCGGGAAAGGCCTTCTATACAGATTGGCCCTTGAGCTGCATTTTGAATGAAGCTAAGGACTCTGAAATGGAGGTAAAGAGGGAGTGCCATTACAGACATGGGGGGGGGGGGCACCTGTACGAAGGCAGATAAGTGGGAGATGGAATCTCATGTATGGTAAACAGCAGGCAAGTCTGTGAATGAAATACCAGAAAAAGATAAGAAGCCTTTATATGCCAAGCTGAGGCTTTTGTATTTTATCAAAGAGGAAATAGTTATTAAAAGATTTCTGAGTTGGGAAGGTGATTTGGTCAAATCTACGTTATAGGAATATTAATTTGGCAGTTGGGTGAAAGATGGACTGGAAAGGGAAGAGACTGGAGTCAGGGAAACCAATTAGGAAACAACTGAAATAGTCTAGCATAGAGGGGCTAGAGGCCTGAACGGTGAAGCCTGTGTGAGCAGACAGAAGGGGATAGATGCGAAAGATGTTGTAGAAGCCAGATCTGGAAAATCCTACCTCCACATATAGCTAACACACCCATTGGCCACCCTTCCAAGTTCTCCAAAATATCTCCCATTTTGAGTATCATAAACAGTTTTCTCAGCTAAAAGCATGTTTTTGAAGAAACCAAGTAATAGCTTGTTCTGTATTACCACAGGACTAAATTTTTATTTAGAATACAAATATAAATTTAGAATAGAATAAAATTAGAAAAGTTCTCACTTATTTTGTTACCTTTTTTTGTCCACAGTAGGTAAAGGAACACTGTTGCTTTTCCATTTAACTTTGACATTTTCCTGAAGAACAGTTCTATTCAGTGCAATGAAATATCGTTCCAGTATAACCAGCCTCTGCTTTAGTCTCACTGCTGAAAGAGTTGTTGTAGCCGTCTGTGTAGCAAGAGTTTGTTGTTCTTTCACTAACACATAAAGGCACTCTTTCAACTCATTCACATCTAAGAGAATAATAAGAAGACATCACAACAAGATCAAATGTATGTGTTTACATCCTAAATGTGACATATAATTTGTTAATACAACCCATTTAATTCTAGCACACTGCTTATGATATGTTTACTTACATCAGGGCCTAGAGCTTCCATCCGCTGGTCCCTACTTTCTCTACAAAAAGCATAATCCCATTACTGTGCAATAACTCTTCAAATATTTGAAGACAGTAACTCTTCTTCTTCAAGTTAAACATATCTCTTTCAAAGAATGTCCTGCCCTCAGTAAGTCATAGTGATGAGATGTCTAACTATCCTGAGTACCTACCTCTCTATAGTAATGTTCCAGCTTATTAATATACTAACTAAACTGGCATCCAGACATGGATGTAGTAAATCAAACTACACTCCTTCTTTCTAAGCACTATACTTCTAGTAATGCAGTCTAAGAAATCACATTAATACTGGGGTTTTTTTTGGCTACCATATTAAACTGACTCAAATTGAGATTATAGGAGATAAAAATCCCCAGGTTCTCTTTAAATGAACTGTTGCTTACTTACACCTATATGTCTACAGCTAAAATTTTAAAATAGGAAGAAAAAAACAGGATCACCATGATACTGCAAACAGGCTAGAGAATGGAATTTTCTTTTGCCTGTTTTACCATGGAAGTTTATGCTGCACTCTCTTTATACCACCATAGCAAAACAGCCTATTCTGAAAGGCTACCAAGGGCCCTTGGTAACTAACATGTAGCAAAATTTCTTTACAACATTTTCTACAGAACTGCAGTTTTCAATGTATTATGTATGAAAAAAAATCAAAAAAGGCACCACTGGCTTGTGGACAGACTTTAGAATATTTTAGGTTTATAGGCAAGAAACATTGGCATAAATATTTTTTTGTTCTTAATGATAACAACATTCTTATGAATGGGTAAAAAGACAGGGCCAAAACCACACCGCATTCTCACTCAAACATACCCTTCACCAGCTCAAAATTTCTCTTCTGGTTGCCCCCCAACTATTACCACTCAGATTTTCTCAATGACAATTCAATATTTATTAAGCATCTATTTAAAATCACAACCATGACATTCTCAAAAAATATGAGACAAGGTCTTCAGATGAGAGGGGAGGGAAATGAGTACTCCCAGGAAGCTTGAAGAAAAGGAGAGATAAATATCTATTCCACTCAACTGCTGTGGTGAATGGGATAGAGAATAAATTGGTTGTTGTCCTTCGTTCTTGAAGAGGACCAAAATGACATCACTATGTTAGAGTCGTGTTACAGTGTGTCTGACTGTGGCTGATCAGACCAATATGAGCTTGGAATGCTCGACCACAGTTCAGACACAAATAGTCCATGTGAACACTTGGGGTGGATTATCTAAATTTGCATATCTCGAGTTTCTTTTGAGCTACTTCAGTTCAGCTTTGCTCACAGAGTACAGCACCTTCTTTGATGCAGACACAACATGCTGAATGGTCCTGTGCTAGTGTCTCCCATGTCACGCAACCAATTCCAAAGTTCTTAAGAGAAACCTTGAGAATGGCCTTGTATCACTTTTTCTGATCACCATCAGTCATTCACATAATGACTGCTCTGTGTGAGTTCTCTATAAAAGGCTTTTCAGCATTCCCTCTCTTGCCAAAAAGAGAATCAATTAGAGCAGATCTGTACAACTTGGCAGTAGGTAGGGACCAAAATTAAAATAGGCTAAACTTCTTCAGACCACTGATAGGTTAGACTAGAAACTGATTGACGATGGTTGGTTGCCATGGGTCACATGACAGCCACTGGAAATCCTTTGGGGGGGGCCACAAGCAGGCCACAGCTGGATGTTGTACAGGCCTGAATTTGAGAGTAGTAAAAAGACTGCTTTGCTGCTGTAATGGCCCAAATGAGATTAGATAATATAAACGCATTGGGGACCCAGTTAGTACAATGGCATGGTTTTCTCTACCTCCATTCAGCAGCATGGGAGTAGAAGTGGGGGGAGGGGAGAGAATAATCAAAGGTTGGAGTTTGGCAAGATATGAAAGGTGATAAGAAAGGGGAGCAAGAGATTCCAAAGTAGAGTAAAGGTTGGAGATTGAGAAGGAAAGAACATGAGCAGGGATGCTGGCATTAATAAAGTCAGAGTCAAATAAGGCATGTTCACTAGAGCTAAGAATGAGTAGAAGAGAACAGAAGATAAAACAGAAATAGGCAACAGGGCCAAAAGCACTAAGGGCCAAGAGTTTGTACCTTATCTAATCCATTCACATGCTAATTATTAAATGCCTACTATGCAAAATGTGACTGATTCCTTTCAGAACTACTGAAGGAATCACAAAAGCAGCATTTTAGGAAAATTAAACTAGTGGTATACTGTTGAAACTGTGAACTGATCCAATCATGTAATGCTGCTAATTTCCTTTCTCTTCATACCAAATTATTTTTGAGAAGGGTCCATCTATAACAATATATTTTTGGTAACAATTTCTGTGGAAATAAAAAATTAGAAACAAAGTGGATGACCATCAATTTGGGAATGGTTGAAAAATTGTGCTATATTAATATGTAATGAAATTTCATTATACTATAAAAATAATGAATATGAAGAATTCAAATGAATTGAGAAGACATGAACTGCAGCAGTGAGGTATGCAGAATCAAAGAAAAAAAAAAATAGAATGACCTCAATAGCATAAGGGAAATAACCACCAAAAAAATATTGAAACTCAGACAGCCAATCTTGACTCCCCTTCTCTCAACTGAGCAAGCATTTTTTAACCTTTTTTTGTGTCATTGACCTATCTCCAGTCTCCCTGTTCTTTGGTAGTTGGGTGAAGTCTTTGGACTTTTTCTCAGAATAACGTTTTTAAATGCACAAAACAACACAGGATTACAAAGGAACCCAATTATATTGAAATATAGTGATTAAAATGTTTTGTTTTTAAAGTCAAGGATCCCAGGTTAAGACCTCCTGCAGTAGACAAGGGGGAACTATAGGCACAAAATGCAGCATATGACCTCAGACTAGGTCAATGTGTATGTTTTTCGGTTTGTTTTTTGGTGAGGTATTCTGGATGGTGGGGGGGGTAAGAGGAGACTATAATTCTTTGTTCAGAGTCCATCAAAGGAGTTATGGGGAAATGACAGTTTAACTGTTTTATTTTCTGTTACAAAAGAGAATTAAATTGGGAATAGGACTACCGTTAGGGAATGATTAATGTACACACTGGTATAAGAATTGAGACAAACAATAATTGTGATAAGGTTTCATTTTGTGACAACGATGGTCACATGCATGCTTCTACCGACACCAGGCAGACTCATAACATCTGACTTTTACCAGATGAAATTGGATTGAGCTGAGATTTGGTTAGTGCTCCATCAAGTGAATTGCTAGATTTCCTGCCATGTACCTAGTGTTTCATTGTTCTTCTGTTATATTTTAATTCTGTGCTTCTTTTTTTTAAGAATAGCTATTACTCCAAGGAAATGTGCAAAAAGTATAGCTCTTGGAAGTCAATGTTGAAAACTAAAAATTAATTAATTGACGAAAAAAATTATAGCTCTTAAAAAGCACACTTTAATGACTATTACAGATATTATAGTGGTTGTTGAAATGGGGAAGTAAAGCTTTTTGAGGATCATTTAAGAATATATCAAAGCCAAACATAATCAGTCACATCTAAGCACAAAAGAAAAGTTCAGTTGAAATATTAACATGTTTTAAATTGAAAACTACTAATGTAAAATAGCATAATTAACTCTGAAAACAAGCAAAGACTTTCAGAGGAACCTTGCAGCTAGAGATAGCATTAATGATTCATCTACAATTCCAGGAAGGCTCCCTGAAGTTGGAAGAAGAAAAAGACCAGTTAAAAAAAAAATCTGCTAACTAAGGCTATAAAGAAAAAAATGCTAATTATGGGAAAGATAATGCAAAGATTAGGGTACTAAAGAAAAGTATTTACTGTTGACAATCACTTTTTCATTCAAAGCTATGTCAAAACTGCTGTCAGAACAAGTCCTGGTGAAGGCTAAGATCTGAGCATCTTCATCAGACTACAAAATATCTACACAAAAAATGTTGGGGGGATTTTTTTCAAGTTTCTTATCCTAATTAAGGAAATTATGAATTCAGATAAACATTATTAATATACTGAGAAGCAGAACTGTTTCAGAATTACAAAAACGAAATGCTACATGACCTTGCATCACACACGTCATGAAAAGTCAAGAATATGTATCAAAGAGACGGAAATAAAAATCCTTCAATACTCTAGGAGGAATTCCCCTGATTTAGGCCCCATTAAAAATCTACGGGCTGGGGCAGCTAGGTGACACAGTGGATAGAGCACCAGCCCTGATGTAAGGAGGACTCCAGTTCAAATTTGGCCTCAGACCAAACACTTGACACTTAACAAGCTGTTTGACCCTGGGCAAGCCACTTAATATCAATTGCCTAAAAAATAAATAAATAAATAATCTATGGGCTAAAAGTTACTAAACTGTGCAAAGTCTTTTGACCCAGGAATACCACTACTAGGCCTATACTCCAAAGAAAACAAAGAGAAAAAGGACTTTATATGTACAAAAATGTTTATAGCAACTTTTTGTGGTAGCTAAAAACTGAAAATAAAGGTGTATCCTCCTAGTAGGTGGGAAATGGCTAAACAAATTGTGACATATGAATGTAATAAAATATTACTGTATCAGAAAAATTATGAAATAGTTACAGAGGAAACTGGGAAGATTTCTATTAACTAATGCAAAGTACACAAACTAAAGGAACAATTTACACTATTTACCGTACTATTTTTTTTTTCATTTTCTTAAGGCAACTGGGGTTAAATGACTTGCCCAAGGTTCACACAGCTAGTAAGTGTCAAGTGTTTGGTCTGAGGCTGAATTTGAACTCAGGTCCTCCTGACTTCAGGGCCAGTACTCTATCCACTGCGCCACCTAGCTGCCCTGAACAATTTACACTATAACAGTATAGAGAAAACTTT